CTTAAATGGTTCTCTGCACGTGAAATAGTTATTCAGATTGACAGAGAATGTGTTGTATAAGGTTCTATAAAGAAACTTTCTGAAAATGGTTCTACATAGCACCAAAAAGGGTTCTTCTATAGTTGCAAGCTTGATATCATAACAATAGCAGAACACTTTTGGTGCTGTATAGAACCATTTCCAAAAAGGCTCTATATGGAACCATATACAACACATTCTCCATCAATCTTAAGAACAATGTCACCATGCAAAGAACCATTTAAGCATGAAACAGTTCTATATATGGATCATGGGTCTAAATAGAACCATTCCCTTTACAAAAGAACCCTTAAAGAGCCATCTTTTTAAAGCATGTAAGACATATTATGAATAATATAATAATTATGAATAATGAAATCTGCTAGTAATACCTCCCAGCTCAACAATGTGATAATCATAAAAAACAAGCCAAAATTCATTTTTTCTACTATAGATAGATGGATTAACATTTCCCACAGAATCTGCCACAGAATGCTCCATAAATACAACATGCCAAAGGGAATTTTTTTTTAAGTTTTTCAGTGGATTAATATTAGAAATATTAAAAATTAATAATAAAATAACTGACACTGATTTCATTTGTTCTCCAAAAATGCAGTTTGATCAGAAAAGTGATTGATGTAATGATCAGATACCTGAATTCATTCTCTTTCTGCTTCTCTTCCATAGTGATGCTCTGTGCTGTGGTAAAAATGATTCTTTAATCATCAGCGGCCACAATTGGAGCTTATAAGCGAGGGAGGAGGGTTTCAGTATGTGTAGATGAGACTGCTACACTACTGGGATCAGCCTATTGTCCCACCCGTACGTTATGTTTGCCGAAGTTATAGGGGCTAGTACTAATGGTCCGCTGAGACCACAGATAAAAAACTGATGAGGAAGAAGGAAGAAGAAATTGTAAATTGTAAATCCCCTTGAAGCTAATTGTCAGAGATACCTGATATCAGGGGAGGCCCATGGAATAAATGTGCTGTGGTAAAATAGGGTTCCCTGGTAGTTCTCTTCATTACCAGCAGGAAGAATGTAACACTTAGCCACACATTCATGCATTTATTTGTTTGCTACATTACAGGTCAATGGATCAATTGTGTTTTTCAAAGATGAGAGGGATTTGTTTGCTGAGGTTATCAGACCATGTATGTAATTTACTGCATATACATGAAATCAACAAGGAAAAAAAACATAAAAAACTAAGAAGGTGTTCCTATGGCAGTTTTATTTTTATTCTTGTAATGAATTGCTTTAGCTGTCACTCTCTGACCAAACATTTGATAGCCTGCATGTGGAACTCAAACTAATTCATAGTACAAGTCTCTGCAATGTATTGAACAGAAGTAGAAGACCTAATGATTTCTGGGAACCAAAAAAATGCATGTCTTTTTTTATTGAATCATGCTTATATTTTAAATCTGCAAGTATTACAGTACTGCCCTTGTTTCATTGTTAAGCATAGAATGGAAAAAGGCTAAATTTTGAAAGCATCAAGCAGAAAATCTGACAAGAAATTGTTTTTCTTCATGATAACTAGATAGATATATCTAAGCAAGCTCTCCTGTTGGAAAAGACTTCAAGAGATTAAGAGACGGCCTAACTCATTAGAATAACCATCAGCATAGTTACGAAGTGACAGAGGAATCAACCTGTCATGTTTTGATTTACAATAGGTGGGACCATTTTCATTTCTAAGCCTTCTGGCAGTTTACCTATGTCACTGACTGTGAATACGAGCAGCAGCTTAATCGATGAACTGTTAGATATGGAAAACAGTGGCAGCAGTTCTACACTAGAGCTCATTACTGAAAGATTCAATGTGAACTGCTTCAAGTTCAAGCTTCAAATGTCTGTGTTTAATCTAGAACGCCCAAAAAATGTTCATCCAAACCACCATTAGCTTAGTGCTAACAAACTGCCAAAATCCAATTGGAATGCTAGCAGCAGTTAGCATTATCGTAGAGGTGTTTTTCCTCATGTTTTGACTGAGTTCTGACATTTATATCCAGAATTGAAGGAGCTCTAGATGTCAGATTTCCTCACTGATAATGAAATGCTGAGATTACAAAATAACTTAAAGATCCACTTTATTAAATCCACAAATAGGTGCACTTAAAAGCTATCTTCTTACTCACACAGTCCCACATAAGCCTAGGGCAAGGGTGGCTAAGCTGGTTGCCTTTGGAGGATGAAGTGTAATGTTTGTGGTGGGCCGAAGACCAAAAAAACAAAACAGAATAAAAATAAGGAAGGTTTCAAGTCAAAATTTTAAACGTGTAAAAATACATATTTTGTGACCAAGATACTGAAAGAAAAAAAAAGATTGTATAAGTCTAAGGATAGAAATACGTTTGAGGATAGAAATAACTCTAAGGATAGAAATATATTTGTTCTTCCAAATCTAACATCCCCATGGGCCAGCTATGGTCAGGCCTGAGTCATGAGTCAAACTGGACCAGAGCATGCAGAGCCAGTTATGGATCATGGTCTCACAAGCCCCTGGAGACAAGCTCTATACCAGACCTCTTTACTGAAAGAATCAATGTGAACCTCCTACAAGGTAAAACATTTGCTAATATGTCTGTCACAAGTCCCACAACCCCACTTTCTGACAATCATGAAAAAGTTACACCTGAAAAGTAGCTTTAATAAACAGCTCATGTTTGTTCTGTAAAAATATAAAGTAAAAAATATATATTCATTCTCAATTGATGTGCAATAGCACATACATATTGAATAGCCTATTATTTTATGCACAGTTATGGTTCTGCACATTTTTGGTGTTGGGGGCTTTTAAATATCTGAAATATGGCAGTGGGTTGTGGGTTGAGGATTGCTAATATCTTCTGGATTTTGGCAGTTTAGATAATACACTGTACAAATGTTTAGACTTAAAAAAGGCAGAAACTGGGTTTTTATTTTTAGTCAATTAATTGACTTAGTTCATTTAATTAGGTAGCCAGGTTACATGCTTTTTAAAAAAACATTTTTTTTTCATGCAATGTAAGTTATTTGTACTTATTTATATTTTTTGCAATTAGTTGCTTTCACTCAATCCAGGTGAGTTGTTTGTGCTGTCTGGTTTAAAATTCAAGTGTACTTATTTTAGAAAGTAGAACAAACTCAAAAACAAGCAATAAGAGAATATGGCTCAGAGTTACTCAAAATTCCTAGCGAGCTAGTTGCACTATGTTTATTAGCGTTCATTTTTCTTTCAGATGTTTTTAAACTGATATGTAAAATTAAAATTCAAATTAAAAAGACAAATAATGATATAGTTAATGATATACTTAAGTTACTTAAACTTAAAAGCACAAGTTTCTGCAACAGTGTAGTTTGTGTGATGTTTATTCATACCTTGTTTGTTAAACTTAAGTTAGTGTGTATTTAACTCCATGCATAATTTCAGACAGAGTTTCAAAACTTAATTCTTTTGATGCAACAAGTTACCTGTGATATTTTGAGTAAACTTATCAGGGTTTAAAGTGCATAAGCAAAGTAAAAGAGGCCAAGTATGCATTGCTTTTTATGTAATAACTTTGAAATGTCCCTTAAATATTCAAATCTGAAATGCTTGTTGGAGAATTTCACTGTAAAATAGGACAGAAGTTGATTTGTAGTGTTTCTGAGGTTTGAACTGATGTAAAATGTAGCTTTTGTTAATCTTTGCATTGTTGAAACGTTGCAATGTTGCAATCAAATATTGAAACAAGTATTGAAACAGTATTAAATGTTGTTAACACATGAAGTCATTTTTTTAGGTTAAACTAACAAACCATACAATGTATCTGTATGACTTGAACATTAAAGACAGTGTTACGGTACAGTTATGGAAGTAAGTGTGCAAAAACACACCATTCAAACATGCTATTGTCAACATGCACTGTAAAAACAGTGTCAGTTCAACCTAAAATATTTCAGAAGGTAGTAAACAGTTTAATAAACTTTTTTTAATTGAAATAAATACTTTGAATGAGACAAGCAAAGCTAAAGCAATATTTAAATCTCAAAAAAAAAAATTCAAAGCAACTCCTGCCTGTTCCAATTTTTACAGTGTGTCATTAAGTCTTATATAGTTGATTGACACGAATGGCACTTTTATGATAGATTTATTTAAAAAACAGCTCAGCTTTTTAATAGTTCATGACTATAATTTAGATTTATATGCCAGTTTATTAAAATTTAGATCAAAGGTCAACCAAGCCTGTTCTGAACCTTTAGAGCACAGAAACATTTCCTTTAAACTGTCCTTTGTGTTCATAGATCACCAGCTCAGCGGTAGTCAGAGGAGGATAACTTAGTATTGCTTATCATGCAAAATTTTCACATTACATTAGTCACTCTCAATGTCATTAATGGAAACTTCTTTTAAATGATCAGCTTACATTTCTAGTAAAACAGCATCTTAATCTCAGTCTCAATACCACCTAATGGATTCATTTAAGCAGGGCTTCCTCTTTCTGTCCAGTTTCACCTTACTTTCTAAAAGAATTTTTGCAGAATGCTACCCGCCTACAAAAGGAAGTGACCACTTTGAAGAACAGATGTAGTAGCAAAACAAAAAACTTCCATTTTGTCATGCAAATTAGGGATTACTTCATAGCCTTGTTTCCTTCTATAGGGCATTTGCAGTTTAAGAAACCTGTATTTTTAACCATCCTTTTCCAGGTAAGTGCTGATTTCAAAGCTATGAACTGAATAGGTTCATTTCTGTAATTCAAGTACTTTAAAAGGAAGGATTAGTATGCCAAAAGTTTTTCACAGAATCGGAAACTGGATGTGTCACCTTGTAATTGTCACATTTCATGTGAAAACCTACTTTGTAACTTCCTTCAGTGCTATTCAGTTGCTCTTTACATCGTAGGAACATTTCATGATGCATGGACGGATAGAAATGCTTCAAAGCTCCTTTTAAGTTACCATTTTGATGAAACAACATTTTAAAACAACAGCATTGAATATAATAATAATTAACCTATAATAATAATAACTCTTTTTTTATAAAAAAAATGATAATATGTATCTACATATTCATTTGACATTGAATTCAGTTGGCAAAAATGGTACTATAAGTTATGGTGCCTTTGATCATTAGATTGAATTAAAACACTTTAAAAACATAAAATATATGATACATATCCTCCAGTGTCTACAAGTCCACACACACATTAATAATGGCATTTATTTCATGATTATCTCTTACAAATCTCATTCGTCTAACTGTTGGATGACATTCAGGGATGACCATTCAATCTGTCCTACAGTCACTGCTGAACTGCATTATACAGGCTTGACAACATGCTCAGGCTCTGTATTATAGCCACATGTTCAATCTCAACAAGTTATCTCTGTAAGAAATCAGACCATCTCTTTGGCAGCATTGAAAAAGTCTTTGGGATTTCTCCCTGTAATGTCACTGTACGTCCCAGATTTCACAGAGCAGGGGGTTGAACTTGTGGTCACTCATGCGCCACGACTCCAGCATCTCGGCGTGCTGATGATTGAGGGTGCGCAGTTCGGTCAGACGGCCCAGCAGCCGTGCGAAGTGCTGGGGGTCCTGAGGGTGCTGCAGCTTGCAGAACTTCCACAGCACCTCCAGCATGGGCTCCTGCAGTTGCTCCACCGCCTGCTGGTCCTTCACATATGGCCGGTCTACAAGGAAAAAAACACTGCGTCACAACAGTGTGAGGGGCTACCTGACCTACAGCCCACTGACTCAATGCTCCCCAACAAACGTCTGTGTCCTGATCTTGGCAGCTGGTTCACACTGATCCAGAATAAGAGGAGATATGCCAAATGAACCAGTGAATATTGGAGAACACTCCAGAAGAGTGTGGGTGGCGAGAACATTCCAGAACAGACTCTTTGGGGGAAAACATTGTAGAATGATGTGAAAGGGGGAAGAACATTCTAGAACATTGTGAATGGAAGAGAACATTCTGGAGCAGTGTGAAAGGGGAAAACATCTTAGAACAGTGTGAGTTTAAGTTGAGCTCATCTAAAGAAAGCAATAAATGTTCTGCCTCATTAGAAGCTGAAAGCTTTTGTTGGAATTTCGTTTATTTTTCTTCTGTGTTAATCGCTAACTCTGCAAGTTAGGACCACCCCTTGATCCCGTGGCTGGAGGGTTGGCACATTTACTCTCAGACTCCTGACAATCATGCACAGTTTTAAAGGGGTGGCCAGGGCCTTCCCTGACATCTGATTGGCCACCCCAGATGCCACCCCAAATTCCTGCCATATCATTAGCTTCCACCTCACTGTGGGGTGGGTGTTTGCACCTTTATAAGGAGAGGCGGAATAGTTCTCCCCACAACAACCAACAATGCCCTCCTCACACTTTCATACTGCCACCCTGCTGAAATTCTGTGACAGCCCTTTGCACCCCTGGTAAAATTGTTTAGTACTGTTCACAATGGAGGGCTGTGGCATCACCAGGATGATGAGTGAGTGGAGACTTGCACCCTGTTAGAGCTGTACATTTCTGTGTCTGTAAGGAATAAGAGGTCAATTTTAGAGCAGTGTGACCGGGACTCAAATAGCCCCTTATGCTCAGACAGAGAACACTGTTTGTACGTAAATAAAGAACAGCTACTTATGCTGAAATAAACTTACTAGAGCAAAGTACTCAACACTGTCTTTTTTAATCAATGACACATTCAAATCCTGGTGGAGCCACATACCACCAGCACATCCCGCCCTGTTTAACACAGAGGGAGGAGTCAATTTCATTTTATAATCTTATAATGAAGCAGCACACGCTGCACTTATTGCACATAGAACTTCAATATGTTAACAAATGTAAAACACGTCTGATTCTTCTATTAACTTAATATTACAAGTTCAACGAACTCAAGATTTCAAGTTAACCCAGTCACTTACTGTTTTAAGGTTAAAAAGCTGCACATTGTTTTTTACAGTGCCTTTACTGCTTTTTTGAAGCTCAACTGACTGAGATGCAGCACTAAAACCCAGAATTAGAAGAACATTTGACTAAGCTAAGCTTAACAGTAATTAGTTAACAGAAATCAGTATCTATTTTTTTACAGTGCACTCATACATCTCTGGCTCTTTAAAAGGCACTTTTCTATAGCATTGGTACAAAGAATCCTACCCTGCACTTTTGGCACTAAATTACTAGGCTTTAGAAAATATCAATTTCTTAACTTTTCTTTTAAGAACAACTGCAAAAACAAGTGGTATTCTTAAGAAAATCAAGAGGTGATTTTAGAGGTAAAACTGCTTTACCTTAAAACTTTTTATGGTTTTCACAAAATGTAATTCTTAAAATACACCAATGAGGATTTAATGCCAATTTGCTTAATGGCTTTATTGGGTATTTCATCTACAATGATGTCTAGTTCTTTTTTAGTTTAAATTAGTTTAAATTAAAGATTAAACTGCATAACCAGTTAACATGAATAGCAGTTAATTCAATACTTCAAATTCAGAAAGTACACATCATATCAGGTTTTTTTGGAGATTGAATTTAAGGACATTTTTGTTAATATGTTAGTTAAGCTAATCTGGGCCCATGATTAGCCAGTGACACCAGGACCAGGACTGGGAAGAAAAATAAGCTACTGACACACGATTTCAATCATTTATCAGTTTAGAATGAGGTACAAAAGCACAATGACATGGTACACTGGCCATTATTCCAGTTTGTACATTTGTGTCTGTTTCCCAGCTTCTAGTCCACAACCTTAAGAATAACTAAAGCAGCCATGACTCTTATTTCACTGGAGTTGCATCAGTGTAGCACTAAAATCTTTCCAGTATCATACCAACGTCCTCAGCGTTATCAGCAAATTCTTCATTCTATGAATTCTTCTGACACTTCTCAGTCTCACTCTCAATTCAGAAGGGAATAAAATGTTTCTCATGCTATATGCTTACTTTGGTTAAATACACTAGCCAATATGACCCTGTTTACACCTGGTCACCTTATACATCTTGAGTATCATTATTATCTATTCTATATCTATTAGCCATTATCTGGATGCCAAAGCACATAAAAATGCAAGTGTAAACACATCCAAGATGCATTTACAACAGATACAGGAGATGGAGACACATCTGAGCCATGTTATAGCTGTGTAAATGCATCCAACCCTCCAAGATACATTCAATAACTGAAACTCCTCCCCATGTGTACATCACTGGGTGCGTGATCCGTGTCTTCTAGGAAGATAATGATGGAGGACGCACATGGTTGAGGACTGGACGAAACAAAATGCTTAATAGCCATGTGGACAAACACCACTTTGCAAAACAAACTGCAGATGAAGAGGCTGAACAAATAAACAATTGGTAACTGGTTGCCACGTAACAAGCAGATTTGCATATTCAATCCCTCACAGCCATAAGATTTCAGTCTGACCAACAGGAGATACTTTCGACTACCAAGTGTAAATACATATGGCTAAAACCATATCAGGATGCAGTCGATATACTAGTCACATGAAGTGACCAGATGTAAACGATATCTACGGTGCATTATGGTGAACGGATTGGGTAACATACAGTGTGCTTGGGGTCAGCAGCAACCAGTAAAATAGCACAACACTTCAAACAGATGAGGCTACATTGCATAAGTCTACCTTAGGTTAAAGAATAGATAATAAGGAAAAGGAAAATATGTGTGTCTTGCTTTGTGGATTATTTCCTTCATTTATCATTAACTATTTAAAAAAGTAGTCTGACAATATTTAACCGTACTGAACTGCACATTATACACAACACATTCCAGTTTACTTCAGATGGCCTGCATCCAAACATTCAGATCTTTTTGGGCATGTAAATCACATGAAACTCCAAAAATAATGCATATGAACATTTTCTCAGCATTGGCCCGTCAAACAATAAACATAATCAGGCAACAGGTGATGTGAAATAGTGACTTCAGAAAGAGTAGATTTTGGCACTGTCTTAGCAAAGTCTCACATTGTGTCATTGTGTGCTGACCTGAGGACAGAATGGTGATGGCTGTGAGGAGCGCATGTTCCTCTTGCCTCATCTGCAGCTCACCAATACTCTTATAGAAGTTGAACATAGGGGTGATAAACTCTTCTGATATGCCTGTGGAGAGAGGAGGACAAAAATATTTTAGCATCAATATACTGTAAAATGTGATGGTCAATCACCTTTTTTTTTAAGATTATTTTGTAGTATAGTTTTTAAGACTATACATATGCTGTATTAAACACTACTGTTTTTAATTTACAGAAATAGTATGTACATTCCCAAAAACAAATTATCACTTTTATTTCACAAACATTTGCATCTGTTATGATGGTTGTTACTGTTATGATTATGGTAAAATACTGTATGCCAGAAAAACTAGTTGAACTAGTGAAACTATTGAATTACAGTAAAAGGTTGTTTTTTTAAACAAGGAAATGATTGTAATTTTACAGATTTTTACCATCATTAACAAACGAGCATTTACTGTTAATTAATGTGGCACCCCTGCTACTAGACGTTTTAACATTAACTTTTTTTACAGTGTGCTGTCAAGATATGCTCTCAGATAACTAACAATGTAGCCTATGTGCTAAAGAACTTCAAATCTACACTATAAGTCCAAATGTATGCAATGTTTAATTAGTGAATTCAGCTTCTTTAACATGCAAAAGAAAAACTTTCGTCTCACACTTTTTATGTGGTTGGTGGTTCACGCTAAACAAGCAAGACTAAGCAAGAGGTTAAACCATTTTCTTCATGTTTTAAAACGCACATATTTCAGCTCATGCTGTCCTCAACACCATCTGCTTTAAAACAACACTATGTAGGATTTAGGGATTTGGAGACCTCTCTGGTGAAAATATGTAATTGCACACAACGTGCAAAAGAACATTTTGTAACATTGGTTGTGCTTTGGACCCTCACAAGCAGATGATGTTTTAATAACAGAGGAACCCTTTCTGGTGCTAAATAGAATAATTTTCAAAAAGGCTCTGCATAGAACCATCTACAGTGCATTCTCCATGATCTGAAGAGCCCTTTCACCATGCAATAAAGCCTTTAATCATGGTCCTATACAGAACCTTTTTCTTTACTAAAAGAACCCCTGAAGAACCATCTTTTTTAAGAGTATAGTTTTGGTTTTATTTTACAGCTTGTGGTTTATAACTATGTCGGTTCAGTGCTTTTAATTTATAAGAAAACTAACGTAGTGCAGTGAGGCCCATGTGCTGAAGAGTCTCAAATGCATTCGCTGATATCAGATGGTCCATCAAGGAACTGTTTGTTTTTGCTGCTGTACTTTTTGTATGTTTCTTAAAATAGCATGAACCTTGTTTTTCTTCACTGTACTAACATGGCTTTGATGTAAGAGAGCAGATAAGGACAGATCTCCATCTCCCAGTACACAAAGCAAAACACACTTCCTAAGAAGTCATGAAATGATTCTAATCAGCAAAGCCTGAGGCAGCAGTAAAAAATCTTCATCTTTAGTTGAGAACTTACTCTTTCAACCTCAGTAGGATCAGCTGCACTCTTAAAAAGATGGTTCTTCAAGGGTTCTTTAGTAAAAACAGAACCAAGAAATGTTTGCATGCCTGAACCCCACCGGCGGGCCCAAAGTTTTTACCCAAAGTCATTACACAATTCTATAACCTAAGAATAGCTCGGTCAGTTTGCACTGGAGTCCATGTAGTTACTGGATAATAAGTCCTGGTATGTAATAAGCCTGGGATTTTAAAGGGTTAAAGGGTTCTTTGCATGGTGAATTTGAAACTTTTTAAGAAGGTTTCTATATAGCACCAAAAAAGTCAAGTTTGTATCAATAGAGAAACACTTTTTGGTTCCATATAGAACCATTTGTCTTTACTAAAGAACCCTTGAAGAACCTTCTTTTTTAAAAGTGTAGTTTTCATCTCTAAATTAAGACTTAAAAAAACAAATGAATTAATCAGTAAATCAAGGCTATTAAGCAAAGGTACGCTGTAAACTCCAGTGTTAAAATGTATTAATTGCATTGACTGAAGAAAGAAATGAATTGTATTCAGCAGCTGTACTAAAGTAAACATATTGAATGAGACACTTTCTTCTTTTGGAGATTGTGAAACTGGTACCTTCCAAATTAGCGGAGTCCTGTTTGTAGTCTGTAATAGATTTACAAACACTTGAATGGCATAAGCTTGGACGGTGTTATGTCTGATGCTGTGTTAGCAGTTCTCCAGAATTCTTAATGGGTTTGTTGGCTTCTGTTAATTAGCTACTATTTCTCAGCAGTTATCTTCAAGTAAAGTTAATTGTGAGATATTGCATGTTGTCCTCATGCTAAAGGTTAGGTTTGGATGTATTTTACTTGTTTTCTTTGTTTTAACCATGATGGTGTTTCATGTTCATGTTTACTAGTTCAGCCTGTACTGCTAACTTGTTATTTAAGTATTCACTTACGTATTTGAGTTGAACTGCTGAGTAATTAAATAAATGTTTGATTAAACTGACATTCACCTGAAAAAGAAGCTATATAAAACAAATAATATTAATACAATAAGTAGTGATTTTATGTGTGTCATTGGCTTCACTAAGCCATTTATAGCTCTCTCCTTACGAAGGCCCAGTATTATTTTTAGTTATCATCCAATACCTGATTAGGCTACTCAATGCATCATTAAATTAAATCAAAGCTGTGTTCTTCTAACCAGCTCACAGCGTCTTAACTATCTTTTGGAAAAGAAGAAATTCTTACTTTTTTGGTGCACTAATGTTTATTTGTGTTTATTCTAATATTATATAGAGTTTTTACTGGCTAAAACACACTTACCCAGATAAATAGTTTCAAACTGTTGCTTAGGTTCTTAAGAGTTTTGCACAGTAACTATTTGTGTAACAAACCCTAAATTTGTTCTACAAACTGCTGAACTTTTCATTTTACAAATTTAAAAATATTAAGGCAATTAATCATTTTGAGTTCTGCTAACCTATGTGGGTTTACAGTGTATTCAGGTATTGGTTTCATATCTATTACCATCATATTCATTACATTATCACATTAATTGCACTATTTGCATTAAACTTGTGAACTGCCAGAGTAGGTATATGCAGACGCTTTGCTATGGTGAGTTGCTCTGAAGAACAGAGCCACTGGGAGGCAGTGCACTCCTTCATGTTTAAAGCACATTCACAATGCAGACCTGAAATAGATCTGCAATGAAAGTATTAGTTAAATTATGAAATCCATTTACCTCATAGTGTATTTCTGTTTGGAAATTAGGTCTTTTGAAATAAAAGGCACTGATGAATTTGTGAACAAACACATTTTTGCTTGACCTACTGTCAGTGGGACAGTACATTGCGAAGCTTACTGCATCTGCGAGATTAGATCAGAGGGAGCCAGAAAACTAGCTTTATTGTAAACTATCACTGGGCCCGGCCTAAATCTAGCATCTCACAGCTTCTGGTGTTTTCACATTCAGTGGGACTTCCGTTTAGAGTGTGTCTTTGAAGAGCTTGTCTGTTTTGTATGAGCTCTTTGTCTTTATTATTATCATTGATATAATTATTATTCTTTGTTGGCTATGAGAGCTGAGGGCTCTTTTCTAATGTTGATGTAAAGCATTCAGCGTGAAGAGCCACGAGGTGATCCCGCTCATTCAAATCAGCCAATCAGGAGACACTCTCAGTGAAAGGTCATTAGACACAATTTAGTGAAACCCTATTCATTCCAATTACATTCAGCAGCACTCTTTAAAGAGCCCATACCCTCATATGTCATATCCTGCATAGTCCACCTAAGACATCTGTGTGTGATTATATGCTAAAACAGTCATAATTCTTGATACAATGTTTATATGAACTTTTCCAACCTATATCCCTTAGAATTCAACAGGTTGTTTTTTGTTACAGTATCTATACGATTGGTATATGTCCATGAGTTCTGTTCTGATAGGCTGCCATGTGTTGTGCCCCATTCCAAAAGCAGTCCAGGCCAGAACACTCCAAATCTCATCAACATGAATGAGTGGACTCAACTGTTGTGGTCTGAATAAGTAGATATATGTATATGCGTTGTGGTTTGTGACGTCACATGAAGCGTGTATTCAAAACGGGCTGTTTTTGCAGCTTAATTTCCATACATGGTTTGTAATGACCAAAATGATATGCTTTGAAACTTTAAAAGTGTTTACATACTGCATCAAACTGTGTCATTTAAGGAAAGTGAGGTTTTTCCATAGCCTCTTTCCCACTGTAGAGCAAAATCATTCCCACCGCAGCACTGTGCCGTGTCGCATAGATGCAGTTCTCGCGAGACCGGTTATGGTTTCTTTTCATCTGCTGTGCTGCTAAACCAGAACCAGGAAATACTGTAGAAAACTACACAAAGGAGTGTTTGCTAACAGCCTAATACCAACACACACACACACACACACACACACACACACACTACAAAACATGTTCGATTCCATCTGTCCCTCCAACACCCGTCTCTCGGCGTGCTCTCAGACTGTTTCTCCTCTAAACAGGTGTTCTTTAAGCAAGAGAACACGAGAGGGAGTGTGTTATCATGAAATAACATCCCGGCTGTGATTTGGTAGCAGGCACGAGCCGAAGGCGAAGTAAGAAGTAAAGTGTGCACAAAGTAAGAAGTAAAAACTTTCAAATTGCTTGAGCGTCTCCTACAGCGGTGAAAGTTGTTGCTTAGCAACGGCGTCTCAGCGGAGTGATACAGCGTTTGTGAAAAAAACGTGACGTTATGGCGAAAGAACAGCACGGTTAGAACGCTTTTCGACCAATCAGCTTGCGTGGCTGGAACTAACTGTTGTATAACTGAGCATCAGTTACTGAAACTGAGTCTGTATTGCGACGGGTGGTACCTGTAGCCAGCTAGCATTAGCTTAGCCCAGCCATAAACATCTCAAAGCACCAGAGAACAAATATATTTTTTATTTTTTGTCACTTCAACACCATACATTCGAATCTGTGATCACAGATGTGAGTCTTTGTCCTCTTAATCAGTGTTTTTAAGCATCTGTTCCGTATAATTGAGCCTGTATTACAGTGCAAGACAACATACACTCATGTTAGCTTAGCCCAGCAGGCTACAGTTTCTGTCACTCCAACCAGCCACTCTCTCCTGGTTAGCATTGCTGTTTTAATGTTTAGAAACTGTTGTTAGATTGAAGCTTTGGCATTTATTGAATGGTGGATTTAAAATCGTGCCGTTTTCATTTATTTGTCGTCTGTGTGAGCAAACGTACTTGAAATCGTCTTTGAAATATCGCGGAATCCTGGGGCACAGTACCGATATGAATGTCGAACCAAACTGGAATGGTTACCCTCTATGCTCAGAACCGTTCAGCCCCACAGTGGAAAAGATGCTCATTATATATGATATATATTAGCATCTTGCTAGAACTGTGACATGAAGACACAGTGAAATGCTTACAGACAGGAAAAGGAAAACAACGTCATGTGAGAAAGGGCAGCCCTCTGAAAATCAATACTGGTGGCCTGTGATGCTGGACTGCAGTATGTGTTAGCAAAGGCTGAGGTTTTTACCTCAGAGAGATGCAATCAGAAGTGAAAGCAGACGCCTCTCAGATACGCCACTGAAATCCCTTCAGATGAGGGATAACCTTTGTCACTATTTCCCCAAAAAAGAAGAAGAGAAGAAAAAAAAAAACACACGAGCGCATCACAGAGCCTTCAAAAAACAGAGAAATGTCAGGATCGTGGAGGGGCCGAGCAGGAAGGACAATAGGCCTCTCGATGTTTAGATAGAGAACAATGGCCTCTTCAGACAGTGGCTCTTCTTCTCTCTCCAGCTGGCCTTTCTGCATGAATATTTGTGAGTGCTCACAGGGGGAAAGAGAGTGACGTGTTCAGACAGTCTCCGCCGCTGAGCTTTCACAGCCCTGCGTGGGAATATGAATGGAGCTGCGCTGAGCTGACAGCACTCCATCACCCGTCAGAGGGTGGAGAAAACCACAATGATTTCAAATGCAGCTCAGGGGAATGGCGCTCTCAGGTAAGCTTGAAAACAAGCAGTGGCTTCCTATATATGGCTGATCGGACTGTACTTGTGAATTTGATGTCACCGGTAAATAACACATTTAACAATTGAAAGGAATGCTCCATTGTTTTTCAATCTATTCTTTATCAGCTTCATCTGTAGCATATGACTGATTGCCACAGATGGTAACATAAATGAAGAATGAAAAAGAACAAAAAGAACAGAAAACCTGCTGCCTCAAAACAAACTTACACTATATGGCCAAATGTATGTGGACGCCTGACCATCCCACCTAAATGAGTTTCTTGGACGTCCCATTCCAAACGATGGACATTAATATGGAGTTACCCTGCATTCACTGCATTTATAACAGCCTCCACTCTTCTGGAAAGGCTGTGTCTCTGGGAATTTGTGTCCACTCAGTCAAAAGAGCATTTGTGAGATTAGGCCCTACTTGCAATTGCCATTCCAATTCATCCCAAAGGTGTTCAGTGGGGTTAAGGTCATGGCTCTGTGCAGGCCACTTGAGTTCCTCCACACCTCATCAACTCATCAGACCATGTCTTTATGACCTTGGTTTGTGTACCAGAGCACAGTCATGCTGGAACAGGAAAGGGCCTTCCCCAAACTGTTTCTACAAAGTTCGAAGCATTTAACTGTCTAAAGTGTCATGGAACATATATCTGAACCTGCTGACCAGTCCGTATAATAACCCTAACCTATAGTGATTTGTATGATAAAGGAAGCCTACCACTCTTTCTTATGCGCTCCTCCAGCACCTCTGTCTGTCCCTGAGGCCTTTTCTTGGTGAAGACTTCGGCAGAACGCAGGAACATGGCCTCCACCGCTGAACCCTTCAGAAGAGCAATCTGATCTTCATGGTCCAGAGACTGGAAACCTGCTCACACATCAAAGAACTTACTGCCATGCTGCATTAGCTGGTCAAGCTTTTAGCAAGGTTTGATTCAGTTGTTGAAGTAGTAGAAAATAGTGATGCATTGAGTTTAGTTGACTCAAATTATTGAATTTAAATCAATAAAATATTACATCAACACAATTATTGCCAAAAGCAAGTTGGCCAAAGTTGATTTAATGTATTTTTTGTTCATGTGGAATGAGGTATACATTTGAATCAAGTAAATTGCACGAGTAAAAAACTAGTAACTGATATACATATTGTTGTACATATTTACATGCAAACTACTGTAAAAAATAGTGTCACTTAACATGCACAACCAAAAATGAACCTAATCAAAAAGTTTAATTTTTTGAAATTACATAGGTAAGAATTTCTTTAAAACTGTACTATGTATTTTTTGTACGGAGAAAAAACACGCTAAGACACTGTAGTAACTATGCGCTGGGGTCTCTGTGTATGATATGTTGTAACTCTATTGAACTGCTAGTGAGCAATGAGGACTGAAAGGGGTGGGGTGAGAACCCCCTGCTGTGTAAACAATTCACACCTCTTGACAAAGACAGCCATGCCAAGATAAAATGGACCACACAACTGCAGCTTTCTACATATCAAAAACTGTGCACAACTGCAGCAATAAGAAAATCACTTCAACCCAATAAAACCATGTTTATAAGTCTTGCTTGCTCACTGAAGATGAAAAAACAGTACACTTCGGATTTTGTAAATCATTCATATTTCCTTCATAATATATTATATCAACATTATTGAAGAGAAAAATCCACAGCGCAAAAACTGAGGGACCTCCAAAACAGGCAGAGTCAGGCGTAAACTGTATTTTATAGCTACTATGAAAAGGCCTTAAATACCTGATCAGTGATGGCCATTTAACAACATTACTGTATCACTAACAATAAAACATGGTGTCAAAAGCACTGCAGGTAGGATTTGTTTGTTGATATTTATGAATTACATTCAGAAGTATCCTGACCTGGGATGTTTTTAGTGAACTCTACCAGAACCTGGACGTGGCTTGTTGCCATTTCTGTCAACAGCAGGAAATTCTCCTCTGCACTGAAGTGCTCCTGCAGCTGCGGAAACATGAGGGAAAAGCTGAAACACTTTGTTCTGAAGCAAATCACTACTGTGCATGTTTTATGATGTGAAAGTTGATAACAGAGATTACGTAACTCAACAGTGGCTTTCCATTTACTGAGCTTAGCATAGGTTAAGCTGTCTATGGCTGTTCAGTGGGATCAAGACTCAATATACACATGGAAAAACATACCAGTTTCTTGGCCATATCCTGAGGGACACGATGTTTGTTGTATGCTTCAACAATGTAATTTAGTAACGCCTGCTGCTCTTGACTGAGCTCCACTTTTTCCTAAGATTTAAAAATATTAACATAATATCAACAGTGTTTCTTCATCTGTACAGACTATTGGTTCCTGTTAATCACAGCAATCAGCTCCCAAGAGGCACTGCCACTAGCATGGGTTGGTGCTTATTACTGAATAACAAGGAAACTTCTGACCCAGAAAAGTTCTAATACAACCATTTTATAACCATTCTACAGCACCATTTACTTTATGAAATGTAAGCAGCGGGAAATCATTTCTACAGGGAAGTCAAACACTCAAGTTGTCCTTGAACCTCTTTGATGACACTTCAATAAAAGTGATGGCTTGTCTAGTGTAGTTACACGGTAACAAACCCAGCAATAGGGACAGCTATGTCTGTAAGCATGCACAATAAGTTAACATTCTTAACATACATTAATGCATTTTATTGATTTATTATGTATTTTATTATTATCTTCAGACCATTCCTATTGGTCCATTCATCATGAAATGTTTACACAATGTAAAAGGCAGGGTTATAAGTGTGGCTGTGTTTGGGTGTTCAAAGGTAACCAGACACCCATTCTAATTAGTGGATTCAGCTACTTTACTTTCTTTCCGACACACACATTCAACTGTGCACACGCACAGCTTATATAATGTCCATAGAAAAGCACTGCCAATAGATTGCAGCCACACATGAGCCTAATATCACTATGTCCAATGCAAAGCATTGGCTAGAGGGGTGTAAAGCCCCCCAGCATTGGGCTTTGGAGCAGTGGAGTTGTGTTCTCTGGAGTGATTGAGCTCCATCCAATATCTTTGGGATAAGATAGATTGTTGTTTGTGATTCAGAGCTGATCATCCAACATCAGTAGCTGACCTCACTAATGCTCTTGTGGCTGAATGCAATTAAATCCTCATGGCAATGTTTCACCATCTAGTGTTAAGCCTTACCAAAGGAGTAAAAGCTGTTACTGCAGCAAAAGAGCAACCCCCTATCAATACCCTTGATTTCATAAGAAATGCTGTGAGCAGGTGTCTACAAGTTTTTCTTGTTGTTTCACTTCAGAAAATCAATCACTTCTACATTCAAAATAAGGTAAAGCTAGTTAAGTAGGAAGTTAATCTGTGGTTTTCTTGGGAAGCATATGCCATAGTATAACTGCACTGAACAAAGCTGGCTAGTGGTAATCCTGATCAATGAAAAATGATGGATTTGAAAATGTACATCATTTCTACATTAATAAAATACATTACATCAATAGTTACTGCCAAAAGTAAGAAAACTGAAAGACAAAATTGTGATGATGTAATATAGTTTACTCATGTGCTAATCATACACAGTTAAATCAAGTGAACTGACTTTAGTTAATAGACTTCACTTCACTTCACTTCTTCACCAGCCACCCAAACAATTACTGCTATAAAAGCACCAGCACCATCATACAAACCAACATGATGAATGAATGAAACGTTAACAACAAAGACTCTCGCCATCCAATCGCTTACATACTGTCCTCCACAAATTAGTGTAATTTTTGTATTAATATATAAATTTTTACACTTTGCACTCACTTTAAAAGTTTTGGTTGTAGATGTGACCTGTTTAGCATCCCCACTGTCTCCCACCTCTGTATCGTCTCCTGTGCCGTCTTCTAGTGAGGTCTTGGTGTTTTTCCTCAGCCTTTTGGATTTGCACTGAATCTCTGTTAGCAAACCTGCTTACAAACAGTCAAACCAAACCACAGATTCAGCACTGTAGTGGTAGTTTCCTAGGAAATAAACCTAACTTCTCACTTTCTTAACTTTTAATAAATGTCAATTTAAAAAAGATTTTCAAAATATATTTTCAAATCATGTAAAACACAAACAAACAAAACATGCAGATACAAGGTTTTGTTTCAACAGCGACAAAATGCTTTTACATAAAATCATTCATTGTGAAGTCCCTCTGGGATCTCCTACAGCAGAAGGACTGCAGTGATGTATCGCCAAAATAACAAAATAGCCAATAATAAAAGGCCAAAATATCATTAAGCCTTGATCATGTCATTTGCATGATAATGAGTGTTATGTAGGAGTTAAGCTGTTTTGTAGGTACAGTACATCATGTACATGTTAAGTTATAGCACAGATCATTATAGTCCATCACAGCCATAATGTTATTCTCACAAGCTCGAGTGTTAATGCAGTTTTGCAAAGTAAAGAAAAAAACACAGTGAAGAATATTGTCCTGCTCTGCTGTTTCTGCAGATCGTGGGAACTTAGCTGACCTACAGTAGCTTCCAGCATAGGCTACTACTCACCTGGCTATTAAACAATATTTTAAAGCTGACCATGGTAAAGAAAATGAGGTAAAAAAATTGTCTACAGATGTCTACAGCTAGTACTGTAAAATATAGGCCTGGGGTTAATTAGCAAGTACTCACTGTGGTGCACTGTCAGCTCGGCAGTTAAATGCAAGGTCAGTAATAGTGTGTTGTATTTAAAGGTCTCATTTTTTAGTATTTTATTCTTTTCTCTGAGGTCTACTTGTAGTGTTTGTTTGGTTTTATGTAATAAAATCATTAAGTTTAATCTTCAATTCATTTTTTAAAGATGATTTTCCAAACTCTCTTTATGTCTTGGCTGTTTTTGTTACTGTGCCTGTAAGACTCCGATATGTAAATGATCTCTGTTCTAATTGGCCGCCCTATATTGCACTCATTCAGAAAACAGTCTTGGCTGAAACACTCCTTATAACTTCAGTGTGAATGGGTGGAGCTAAACCACTGTGGACTGAATAGGCAGGTATATGTACATGTGCTGATTTTCGTGACATCACTAAAACAATAAATTCGTAAAGAGCCGTTGTTGAAGATTAAAGGTCAGGTATTCATGACACTGGCCCTTTAATTTTTTATTTTTATTTCTCTAATTATACAATGAAGTACATTATTTGATGGATATCATCATCACTGTGGGGATTTCTCTGGAAAATAATGCTTCCTAGCTGATGTAACCTGTGACCATCCCCCTCCTAAAATTCTGGCTATGCAATTTCAACCGCTTAAAATCCCAGGCTGATTACATACTGAGGCTTATTATTCAGTAACTACAGGGACTTCAGTGCAGACAGATGAGCTATTCTTAGGTTATAGAAGTGTGCAATAAAACTTTGGGTTCAACAGCGGGCCCTGGTTAGGGATTAATATCTGTAATTATTTTTCTGCCCAAAAGTTCCACCACAATTGGTTGTTTGCTGCCATTATTGTTAGCTTTAAACTAGTGGTTAGTGGAATTTTACAAGCATGATGAAAAAGTGCTAATGTCAGAAAAGCAACCTGGAAGAACACTTTCATCTTGACACAGCTAACCTGTACAATGAAAAAATACATGGGAGGTTTCAGTTTCACTGCCTGATGTACAGTATGAGTGAACTTCAGGGAAATGCCTCCTCGCTGAACAGGAAAAGACTCGAGGGCAGACCGTGGAACGCTTCCAGGCTGAATGAGGGAGCGTGTGAGTGGAGGTGCAGTGGGAACAGGCTGAAGACTGAATGCCTGCTGCCTACAATATTTATATAAACGTTAATGCACTATTCATGAGCAACAGGAGCTGAGTACGGCCTGCTCTTCATTCTATCTGACAGCTCCATGCACGGCAGCATGGCTAATTATGTTTCATCACCGGGAAGCCAATAAGAATTCACTTGTTCAATTAATCCTCACCGCTAACTACAACACACATTCATTCAGTCATTCCAATCCATTCAAACTCACATTTTAGCCCCGTGCTCAACAACAGAGGCTCTCTGCCTCTCTGCCTCTCAACCAGCATTCATTTTACTTAACAGAACTACATACTCACTCTGTTCAGTTCTGCCTGACACAATATATCTCAGTTGCATTCAAAATATTAGCTCTCAAGTCTACAATAAATGCTATCAGTTTGATCTCAGTCAGTGTCCACCGTCTGGCGTCTGACTGCTGGTTAGTGATACTATGGTGTAATATTATGTGTTATCCCATGTCAGCGTTATGAGGTGGAAGTGAGCAGTAATGCTGTGGCTGAAATATGAGTTTCATAGTTGTTACTGAATAATTCATGTTTACTACTGAATAACAGGCCTGAAAAGGTCTGTATTCTGCATTATCCTCCTGAAGTCCATCTTTAATGTTTATATGTTTTTGGGCCCCTCTTTATTTGGAAAGCCCCCAATAGATTAGCTGTAGATGTTCAAATCATCAACAAACTATCTGGTGAAACTGTTGATTCTAAATAGTGTTAGTATTACAGTTAGGATTAGCTTCAGGGTTAGATTTAGGACTGCACAGTGAAAAAAAGATGGACAGAATATCTATCAAACTCTGCTTTTCACAAAACAATCATACTGTGCCATTGTGCAGGATGCTTTCCACTGTGGGGAAGCAAAGGGAGAGCAGAGAGTTTCTCCACCTCATTCACGAGCTAGAACTCTATGAACTCTTTAACACACATCCCAGATCTCCATCACTTAGTTTGAGTTGGGGATGCAGCTCCACACAAGCTACAACAAAATAAATGGGCAGAATATCTTCAAGTGCAAATTGATATTGTTTGCTCCGGACACAATGAACTGTGAGTTGCTTTCCATTTTGGTAAGGTGAAACTAGCATAGCTGGAAATCTGAGTGCTTCTAAGTATTACTCAGATGTTTGTAGCCCAGTTTGAGGCCTGTTTGAGCTGCTTTTGGAGATTCTGATCCTTTTAGCATTTGTAAAAATGTTCTAGTTGCTGGTACACAGCCATTCGTCATCTCCATGCCAACGCCGGAGAGTGAACATTCCATTTAAAAAATTTAGCAACATTTAGATGCCACATCAAACTGTTTCTAAAAAGCAGCTTGGTGTGGTTTTCCATAATATGGGCCCCTCCAGAGAAGATAAGTGCACTATAAGCTTTGAGCTCATTAATCAAGTTTGTTTGCTGACATATGTCTGCATACAGTAAGGTGATTGTGAATCATATGTGATAATTATTAAACAGTGGCTGTGGGATAATTAAAGGATTATGATCGTGGTAACGGATGGTTACTCACACTCTGCCAGCATGCCCATCTCTTTGCACTTCCGAAGTCGGCACTCTTGACACTTTCTGCGCATGTACATGTCCATCTCACAGTTCCCTCCACTCTTACACTTATACACTGCATTCTTGGTTATACTCCTTCTGAAAAACCCTGCAAGAAACATCAAAATTATATTAGTTTTCATAACTGGTGATGTAACCGGTTTTCATTGTGTGCAAATGTTTGGGTGCCTCAAATGACATATTTTGTTAATTTTAATAAGTGAAAATAAGTACATATCGTCTACAAAGAAGGAGATGTTCATTTGCTGAGTTCAACATATTGGAAGAAAAATAAAATATAAAATGTTGCCTGTGAAAAAATATTGGCACATTTTCTATTTCATGTTTTATTTTTCCAAAATTGGTAAACTCAGCAAATAAACAGAAATTGTGCAGTAAAATCAGCAGAAAAATGTCTTATTTAAGTTCTCTGTAGAGGATGGGTTAACTTGTTTTGAATTAGAAAATCAACAAAACATGTAAATTGACCATGTTTTGCATAGACTGTGTCTATGTACACAACTCTTGACAAGAGGACATTATATGAAACAATTATAGAATTCTATTATTGGCAAAGTAATAGTGACGGTAGAATTTAGTTGACCACTTGCAAAATCATGATGGACATGCCACTCATCACACTAATTTCTAAACACCACTTCCTCCATCAAGTGAAGGAAAAACTCTGATAGAACTCCTCAGAGCAAACCTGCACTGAGAATGTCGCTGGTCAGAATTATTAGAATAAAAAATGATGATAAAGTGTTACTGAGGAATACATAATGCCTGAGGCATTCTGGCCTGATCATCTGGAGGGTGGTGTTGTTTTTAGTTCATTCCTGAAGCTGAAAAAGTTTTGGGTTAATCTAGATGTGAAAACTATTAGCAATACCATTTTAAGATGTTATGATCATGTTAAGATCAGTAAGCTAACTAGTTAGCTTTTCGTAACTTAGCGATTGAAAGATAGCTTGCTAAATCAGTTTGATTTAACAGGATGCACAGTGTTCACATTTGTGATTAAAATATTGTGTGTAAAGATGAATATTAATGCTCCTGTACACATGCCATTCTTCATAATATTTCATTAAGTTTGATAAAAGACCTTGTGTAAAACATAAGGAGTCCTCTTCAGCACTGATTAGCTTCAGTGTTAGCTTTAGTGTTAGCTAATTTTTGTCCTACATGCATAATTTGTCAGTTCTCCAACATGTATGTATGCACTGGAAATCTTGCACAGCCAGTTTATTTTTGAAAGAAAAATTTCAAATGCACAACGTACTACTGAACTTTTTGGTCTCTTGGCTCAAGTACTACGGACGTTGCTGTGCAGAGCTAAAAGTTTGATGGAAATAGCTACAATTACCAAGAGAGTGGAATATAGTTTCTATGAATTCTGTTGTTTCTAAAGCAACTGTAAAGAAAACCTGGACTAACTAGACAGGACGAATAAGCTCCGCCTCTATTAGACCTTGAAATGGGTTTGCTGTACCCTTAGTTCATCAGAGCATTACGCATGACACTGTAACAGAGATCCCACTCCGTCCCCTGTTCCAGCCCGCAGACACCTGGACGCAGATGCTTCTGGGACAGGTAATTACACATTCTAGCATGAGCTGATGAACACAATGACACACATTAACATTGCATGGCGGCACAAGGCTCTGGTTCCCTACATCATTATTCAGCAGAAAGCTGAGAGGGAACCAAACCTAGACTGGGCGTGAGGGAGCATCGAGCCTGGCCAAGCCTCAGAGACTTAGAGCACATGGCCCAACAGCTGCCCTTTGGGCATTGTCCACACTCAGGTGGAATTACACTTGCAGTCATTCAGCCAACGATTTTCCAAAGAGCTAAAATTGGTCTGTGGAGTTATATGTCATATACTACGTGGGAGTTAAAAAGACAAGGTTACCATGTCGAACACATGCGCATGCTGTGATATTGTATTTAACGCAAGGTATGAATTAGGGAGGGCTTTGTAGATTGAACTGGTCTAAATTCTATTGAATCACATGTACTTGGTATTATAATAACATGAAGAAGCCCACAGACAAAACAACAGGTTAGTCTGTGTTGCATTTCTGTGGTCAGTTGCATAAAACATCTCAAGTGAATTGTGGCCTTAAGTCTACCCGTTACTCTAAGTGAAGTGAAGTGAAGAGTGTTTTAGTGGAAAGTGAAAAAACCTACAATTGTAAACTGAGTTTTAGACCCAAGGTTTAAGTTTCAGCAATTTTTTGACAGTTAAACAATTTAAATTTACAGCTTTTATCTCTTAAGCATGTAATTTAACATAAATACATAAGATTCTTTAGGCAAGCGGCCACAGACTCAACTTATAATCATAAAGACTTCCAAGTCACTTGTCACGTGATATCATTTTTGTTGTTTTATATAATTTTAAATTTTATTATTCATAAAATAACTTTTTATAAACTATACAGCAAAAAGTATTTGTAGATATTTTATCTGACATATCAAGTATGTTATTATATTATAAATCTATTCTTGCTGTAAATCTGCTGTACAGTTTTCTCAGCCAGTCAAACAATTCTTACTTGTTTATTTATTTTAATTTAATAACATTTTATTTTATTATTTTTTGTTTCATTAATTAATTGCAGGTCTCTAGCTTCCTATATTCTTAAGAACTGAAGGTTCCTAAATGGTTCTTGGCTTGGACGTATGGTTCTAGGAAAAACCTCTAGTTGGGTTAGGACCTTCAGATTATGCTAAAGTTCCTTGAACTTTTAAAAGCTTTTTCACACTCACAAACATCTAATTTCCAAAAAGGGTTCTTTGAAGAATCATCAATTGAAAGGTTCTTTAGGGAACCAAAAGTGATTGTTATATGACATCACTTAAAAGAACCCTTTTCGTCACCTTCATTTTTAGAAGTACAATATTATAATCATTTTAATTGTTCTATGTTTTTTTCTGGCTAAATTGGTCTTCTATTTAGCAATTAAGAATAATGTTTCCATTTTTTTATGGTACATTCACAAATTCCCATGTTCTGTCCAGCAGAAGCTCTGACGTAAGTGGTCTTCACCTTTACACCCTTCACACGTGAGAGCGTTGTAGTGGTATCCCGAGGCTTTGTCCCCACACACCACACACAGTTCTTCCCCTTTGACCCTGCCTGAGTGGGCAGCATGTCTGGGTCTTTTGTACACAGTGGGAACAATGGGGGATGGTTCCTCCATCTCTGTGCTGAAGCCCCCCTCCAGTGGGCCTTTCCTCAACTCCAGCATAGTGGATGGTGTGTACCACTCCTCCGGGCTGTACTGGGGGTAGTAGTTTTGGTTGGAGTAGTATGATGGAGATGGCATGGACTGCTCCACTGCGGAGTACTGCATGCTGGGATAGCTGGTGAAAGGCAAAACCTCCTGGACCTCCTGAAGCAGAGGGCTGCTGTGCTCTGCCAGAATATCTGAAAGCAGAGAAGATGGCAGGAGTGAGACAAGGATGTCAGTTTACACGTGTCATGGAGTTCGAATGCTCAAGTTAACCCAATGTTGGAGACACAGGGAGTTAATGGGCTTTATACCAAAGCAGCTATTAGAGGTACTACAACAAACAGTAATTCTGTTACCTGCCGACAGTCACACCACTAGCACTACAATCCATATTATGCTCTTAAAAATAAGGCCAACAAAAAGGATTCTTTGGGCAATGTCATAGAAAAAACACTTTTGGTGTCCTGCAGAACGTTTCAATGGATGTTTCTTTGAAGAACCACTTTTAGAAGCAAGATGTGTGAGTGTGAAGAATCTTTTCACAGTCTCCACATGAAGGTTCTGCACCAATTAAAGGTTTTATGAATGTAGTACTACACTCCACTATAGCGTTAACAAGGGGCAGACATTGAGCTGCCAGTTTATTAGGTACACTTTAAAATCGCTTACAATCGCTTGTTACAGTAATATACTGTACAGATGTTTATTGTAATTTTTATGTTGTCTATATCAGTGTTTCCCAACCTGGTCCTCAGACAGTCTACATGTTTGCTCCCGTCTAACTCCCAACATACACAGATGAAGGAAAAATGTAGTAGAATTAATAAACTGGCAGTGTACAGCGCAGTTCATTAGTTTACTGGACACTGATTTTTTTTCACTCTGTACTCCAGCACATTCTGCAAATGTAGATGTAAACACCTCAAACTAAAGCAGACTTTCCACACTTTAACCTCATAATCATTATTTCATTGCAAATCCAATGTGCTGTAGAATAGAGCCAAAAAAATTAAAATCTTTTCACATCCATTTACTTACATACCACACTGTATCTGTGCTGCACCAGCTGGTAGCAGATCTGAAAGTGACTTCCAATAAGTTACACTTTGCCACACCTGAAACAGGAGTCCACCACACCCTCAAATAAAGTCAGAAATAATTAACCCACACACACTTTGAGCTGATACTTCATTCTACAACAAAGACTTTCTTTGAGCTGATATGTATACGTATATATGTATGGACAGAATATTATTCCAAGGCCCAAAGTGTAAAACTTATTTTTGTTCACTTTTGTCTTCTTAGCCTAAACAGCCCATGCAAGATTATCATACATGTTAATCTTAACAAAATATAATATTTGCAAAATTAGTATCCGCAGAATGTAACGACTACCTGAAACAGCTGCTTACCACCACAGCTGAGCTACGTCAATTAAATGATCAAGTTACCAAGCACACCATTTAACAGTGATTCCTTCAAACTCTCTACAAGACAGTTTGTACCAACCTGAAGTCTTCACCTGCCCCATGGACATTTCAGCAGGACCCAGAGTGGATACCAGTGATTTGCTTCTGGCCCAAACACTGACCATCCGCAATCATTCTTTCAGTTTGTCAAAGCAACTCCCTGTTTCTCGCTGCTGAAAATCACCCGTCTTTTTGTAAAACCTTGTCGCTCTATGATGCCTTAAATCTTGCCTCAAGTGTGCCAAGGGGAGCAAAGGTTGCTACAGTTGCTTATTAACCTGACAGTCACATTTCTATGTCTCTATTACAGGTAGCTGGATCATAATGCAAAGTCACCTTTACGTATGCAGACACAGAGCATGTTAATATCAGGCTTAATATAAAAGGTGGTAATAAGTCTATCTACTGATGGTTCAGTTTAATTTAAGGGAAATGTTGCACTAGTATGTTGGCCCAATGGCTCTGAGTTCAGTATCAGGTCTTGTATGTCTGTCTTTAATATATGTCTTCATCACCACCACAAATTTATCCCTAGATCATGTTCACTAAAAACACTGATGGTATGACATTAAACATGCTGCATCAATTCTTTCCAAACAATACACTACTTTGCAAAAGTCAGAAAGCACCCTTCATTTATCTTATTTCTAGTCAAAATGGCCTTTAAGTCATTCTTCTTCAGCATAAAAAACAACAGAAAAGATATATTAAACAGAAATTATACAGAAGCTTCAACAATGAAATACAATGCCATTTTTCAGTATTTAGTGTGTCCACACTTTGCCTTTATTACAGCTTGCTTTCAGTTTTTCAAAAAGTCTGCAGGGATATTTTTCCACACCTCCAAAGTTCAGTCTTAGAAGTTGGTTGCATTTTCTGCTTCTCACAATCCAAATAATCCCAAACACATTCAGTGATGTTGAGGTCTGGAATCTGGGGTGGTCAGTCCATTGTACTGAAAACACCAGCAGCTTCTTTGTTTGACTTGCAAATTTTCTTCTTTTTTTGTCTCTCTGTAAGGGATTCTTGGCAGCTACACATCCTTTCAGACTCATTGTGTTGAGTTGTCTTATCACAGTGGAAGGATGGACAGAAACTCCTGTGGATTTTTTCAGTTCTGAGGCAAGAGTGGACCTTGATCCTCTCCTCTATCTCAACAATGAAAGCTTTCAGTACTGTTTATCCGATGGTGGAATTTTTGGTGGTATACCAGATCTTGCATGGTTGTTAGGAGTCCCATTTCCTCTCTATGTTTTAATAATATTTTGAACTCTGTTTTGGAAGCTCCTGTTTTTTCACTTATTGTTGACTTTCCCCTTCATTATTCAAGTGGATTATTTTATATCTAATCTTATCAGAAATAATAATCTAATAAAAGGGGGTCTCTGACTTTTGCATAGTATTGTATGTAAGCTAAAAGGTGAGAGACTGCAATTATGTTGAGATGATGTACTTTATCCATGTACAATCGACTGATACATTATGTGATTCAAAGCACCCATTTTCTCAGTGTTGCTGAAAAGTCTTGTAATCAAAGCTTTCCTTACCAAAAAAATGGGAGCTCTCTGGCATGGGGAACCCATCATTGGGTGGGATCTGCAAAGGTCCCACCACATTGACATCAGGGCCCACCCACTCATTCATCCAGACACTTGTGTGTTGACCCCAGGGTCCAGTTCCAATTACAGTTTAGTTCTTCGGTGCAGAATAGAATTAATGGCATCAATCCTGAAAGGCAACAATAATGAATTACATCAGTGCAAAATAAATATAGAAAAAAGTATGTCTCATTTCTTCAGTGTGGACTCAGCAAAGTCTTTAAAACATGGAAACTACACTACACTACTACTGGATACTAAGAGTATCCAGACGATCCTTCTAATTAGTGAATTCAGCTACTTTAATGTGCACTCATTGCTGACACAGGTGTTTAATTGCGCACACACAGCTTATATAATCTCTATAAAATAAAAATTAAACTCATGATACAGTAAAATTGTTCAACTTTGCTTTAAAAGAAACCAGAAAGATCAACACTGAAGAAAAAACAAAAATTTGGGGATTAGTGTTTGGGACAGACACCACCCCAACAGAAATTACGCTATAACTGAAGATTTTGTTTATATTTGCATTGTTGCTATTTCAATTAATGCCTCGATCATAACATAATCCATGCAAACTCTCTATTAATTTTGGCTGTGTTTAAAATATTGATGCAGCAACATATATCACAGATGGTTATATCAAAATCTATAGCTTTAATTCATTCATCTTTTAAGCTGCTTAGCACCAGCATCCTAGGTTGCAGGAGCCTATCCCAGTGTTCACTGGGCAGAAGGCAGGATCACACAGACATTTAGTGTCTCCAATTGGCTTGACTCCATGTCTTTGAACATGTGGAAGGAAACCCACTCAGACACAGGGAGAACAGGAAACCTCTACACAGAAAGGACCCTGGTCATCCAGGCAGGGAATCAAACCCGACCCTTTTTGCTGTGAGGTGACAGCACTACCCACTGCACCACAGTGCCGCCTTCTCAATGCTTTAATGTGTGAGTGAAACAAATACTAAGTTTGGCAACATTTTACAGCATCCAGCACATAGTAAACATGTATTATTACACATGTTTACTACGTAATTACCATTTTCCCAACTTTATTTATTCGTTCATTCTTCTTCTTCTTCGTCTTCTTCCTATTATTATTATTGTTGTTGTTGTTGTTTTTTTATTTATATTTATTATATTATTATTATTATTATTTTTATTATTACTACATGCTGTCAAGTCAGTTCTGACTCCTGGTGACCTTATGGATAGTGTTTCACCAAAATATCTTGTCTTCTGTTTGTGTCTTTAGGCTTCTGTATGACTTTTTCATGAAATCTTTGTACATCCATCTTGTTACTGATTTTCTCTTCTTTTTTACCTTCTGTTCATTATAACTGTAGTTTTCAAAACAAATTATAAGGTAAACATTGACCAATAGTGTCTGCTCTACATCTGGTGTGTTTTGTCACTGTATTGTATTGTATTGTAATATGTATTGTATTGTGAAGCTGCTGACAATATGCAGCCCTACTTACGATACCATTGATCACAAGATTCTAATTCCCCATCTTGAAGACTACGTAAGCCTGTCAGGCACAGTTTAAGAATGATTTCAATCAAATTTAATTAATAGACAGAATTCACTGAGGAATTAAAAAAAATTGTAACATTTCTTGTGGAGTCCCACAAGGTTCAATCTTACGGCCTCTGTTTTTCTGTTTGTATGTTACCTCTACTGATAATCTCATCAAAACACTGCTGACAGGCATACCAGTTGTGTATCAGATATTTCTCAGTGGATACTACAACATTTTCTAAGGCTTAACCATTTCCAAAGCTCTCCTTGACGAAGCCCAGTGTTTACAGATACCATCCAATAAATAATAACAATATATATAATATATGAAAATCTGGATGATAAATGTTTTGATGATGATAAATATTCTACTTTGAGTGTCCATGAAGCCTACAAGACGTATCTGTTCTTTGTATAGACCAACAAAAATGCAGCCACTTACACACCAAAAACAAGCTAAATTTAGTTGAAAACATGAACCCTTCTTACTAAAGAATACCAATGATTTAACTTTCATTTACCTTTTCTTGCACAGTATCAATGATTAACAGCTTCACTTTATATTATTACCACATAATGAACTATTTATACATGAAAAATCATATTGCTTGCTTGAAGGGCTATTTGGAATAGTGTGGTGACTCAGCGATGATAACAATACTGAAGAAATTACTGGAAGCTGTGCAGTGGTACAGTGGTATATTATGCTTTATCTGCCTCTGATTATAATTTGTTTATGGTACATCAAAGAAGCAATAAATAGTCTGTTTTCTTCAAGACAGAATGGAGTGTGGTGGAATGGCGTGAACATTTGTTCTAGTATTTAGAGACTTCATAGAACAATGATTCAGTGACTTTACCCATTGTAAAGCAAATACGAGTTCAGTCCTAGCAAGTCTCAGGTATGATTCAAAATACGACATTGCCTCATACTGTTCCTAAACTCGACTGCACCTATCAGAATGATTTGAAATTCAGTATAAGTGACCTTTTGCTTAGATACTGCATAACAAGCAACATTGTCAACAGTAAAGACTGTAATAGAGTTTCGCTGCTTTACCATGATTAAAGTGCAACACATCAAACAATAGCTTATTACATGTCTCAGATGCAATTTCAGCATTTTTATTGATCTATCTAATGATAGGTCAAGGCTGCAGCACCTTTTGACCTGTCCTTACTGGTCAGTGATTAAGCTTTAAAGAACTGCTGGACTGCCCACTGCACTAAATATCAGTTTAGCAAGTGTATTGGTAGTGGCCACAAGGCCATTAGGCCAAATTAGGAGGCAAGTATGTAGCTTTTGCTGATTTTTTGTTAATAATATAATATCTTACATGCAGATTGTTAAAGCTTATAAGACATTTTTTGCCATTTGGTGTATCTATTCATGGAATTTGGAACAAAACACACGTGTTGCATTTCGACATATCTGGCAAAAGGCATTTTTGAAACGTCTGTTTAGATGGCTACAGTTATACTGGCTAATTTATATTTCAGATATTTCATTTTTACAACAGGTTTTCAAGGAATATGAAACAACAGTTTACAAGATTGAAGTATAGTATAAATAGCAATTTTGTATGATATTTTACAGCTTCTCGTTTCTTTTCACTGCTTTTTTAATGCTGTATGACTCATCAAGACTTCAGCCAAGACATTTAAGCTTGTGTATCTTGCTACTTCTCCTCTATTCTTAAAACATGGCAAACCCCACAACGGCAGCACAGTAATTTGCTATGGCTCCAGGCCTCAAACCGCTGCAATGCTGAATCACAGTCACATCACAGCCACGAATGAGAAACTTCCTCATAATTCAACAGCACAAACACGCTAGTCAACCTTGTTTAATTTCCCAAAGGTTCCAAATGGTATTCCCAATACAGACTGACAAACAGTGGCGCCATTCCAATCCATAATTCTTAAATATATTTTTAAGCCACTGTGGTTGACTTTTTGATTCATTTGTGTTAAATATATAAAAAGTTATTTTCTTACCTACTTTTTACTCTTCTCTCCTCGAACTGCTTCACACACTCTACTGCCCTGTGGAACTTGAGATTTGGAAGCATCAGTGTTTGGGTAGAGGCATATAAGTGCTTCTGTTAGGAGTCTAGGCAGCACTGTGAGCGGATGGGGTCATGGGGAAAGGGGACAGTGGTTATTAATTAAACTCTTTCTCCATGAAGGCTAATAGTCCTCCCCCTAGCCGCTCTCCCAGAGTCTCCCATCAGAACTAAACTTTGGCTGACAGCCGCAGAGATACAGCAGCACCATCACCTCCCCGCTGCAGAGATATCAGCCCAGAAAAGCCTACTCCCAAGTGTATACTTCATATATATATATATACACACACATATATATATATGTATATATATCTATATATGTATATATATATATGTATATATATATATGTAACCTCATTTACAAGCACATATTTACACTCTACAGTTATGACATGCTAACTAGTTTCTCACACTATTTGAGGAGCACTCAAAACAGATCATCTTTCAGTATTGACTCTTGTGACAGTAGGCCTTATGCAACTTTTACCAACACTTTGTCACTGTTGTGAGATGCTATATGTCCGAAAGTATCCAGACATCCCTTTTAATCAGTAAACTCAACCACTTTAAAAGGCATAATCATTATAGACAAGCATTGCCAATAGATTGGGATGCTCCTAAGCAGCTGTACATGAACCTAATATCACAATGTCTAGTGCCAAGTGTCAACTGGAGGGGTATAAAGCCTCCCAGCATTGGGCTGTGGAGCAGTGGAACTGTGTTCTTTGGAGTGGAGCTCCTTCCAATACCTTTGAGATGAGTTGGAGTGGAGTTTGTGACCCAGAACTAATCATCCATGTCAGTACCCAACCTCACTAATGTTCTTGTGGCTGAATGCAGCAAAGGAGGAAAGACTCTCTTTTAATACCCTTTAGAAAAAATGTTGGATAAGCGGGTGTCCACAAAATTTTGGATATATGGTGTATCCCTGACACTGAAACCTTATAACAGAAGGATAAATGTACTTTATAGTACAATACAAAATGAACTTCATAGTACAATAATGCAAGAAGGTATATCCCAAGTATTTTTGGACCATTTCTTTTGGTTCATTTGTCATGTTTACAATGCAAAGGGTAGCTGGCATTTTCAAACTGTTTCAAAAACTAAAAACCAAAGCAAACAGAGTTATGAGGATTATATATGATGGTAATGATATTGGTTAAACTATATTGTTTTAGCATTAATATTAGTCTCTGTTTGTACTGTATTAAATCAGGTATGTTGTATTTAATTCATGTTTAGCTCCCCAAAGACTGCAGGTAGAAATTAGCCAGTAGCTAACTTTCAAGTCTTTTGAGATGAATGTTTTTGTACATGAACATAAACTAAAGCTTTCTAGTTGTATTTAAATTTTGTGTCTTGATGCCCTAACTAATAATTTTAAGGTAACAAGGTGCTCATCCACACACATTATATGAGTCCTGTAAGAACAGAGCCACAAGTCCAGGAAAGATCACACATATATGAAACATTCAGAAGGAAATAAGAGTTGTGAAAGTGTACTATACCTCTCTGTCTGGTCTGTCCAATGTTTAAAAATTCCCACAGATTTCCCACAGAAGAGACTTACAGGTCAGGCTGTAGTTGTGGCTAATCTGCTTTCACTAGATGTAAGTAGGTTAGTTGTTTATTCAGCTGATAAAATAGTTGTGAACTGAGCTCTTGCATTAAGTGCTTTGAAATAATAACAAGATCTTGTTATGTCATTAAAAAACACTTGGTCTGGTCAATTTCGACTTAACTGAACTTTTTCATGCACGCAGTATGTTAGATGGGAAGAAAATCACAGATTTCCAGATTCTCCAACATGACTCTCCCACTACAATCCCTCAGCTTTAGAGTAGAGTTCATCATGAGTCACCTGAAAAGATTCATTTAAAGTCACGCCTCCTTCATGGAGTGAGATTTACCCGAACTATGATGAAGGCCAGCGTCGTTATAATTGCGAACCAATCTAAAAACAAACTCTTAATCATTTACTGGCTGTTGCTCCATCCAGAGCGCTTCTTTCTGAGTCAACACAGAGTATTCTGAAATAAACAAAACCTTTGCCATTAGCTGTCTGCTGTTTGTGGAGCTCAGAGTGGGGGGTAGGGTTTGTGAGTGGCCTTGGGAGAAGGACACATCTATGGCTCTGCTACAGGCTACTGTAATGGTGTTGTAATGAATTTCATTCACCGTAATGTAACTTGGTACCAGCAATGGTCCCCATCTTTCCCACATGGCATGAACTGGCTGTTATCAGTGGCCTAACGTGCTGCTGACTAATAGACGCCAAGCTACCAAACGTGTCAAATCACAGACAGAAGCAACTTTTGAGCAATTCGTCCTTATTCTGTTAAACATTGACAGGATTTTTGAGGTAACACAAAGGGACACGGCTTAATCTGCCCGTAATATCATATTCTGAAGGTCACAGGGTTTGATGTTTGATCAAGCATTAAAAAAGTTCTTGCAGTGTACTGTTTCAGAACTGCACTAACTCGTAAAAGGCTGATGGTGAGATAAGACAATCAAACAGCTCTTTAAACTGAGAAACTACTTGTCACCGTCCCCAAACACGAGTTGTTAAGGACTGCGACAAAAATCTTCTACAGCCAACCATAACAAGGTCCATGACCTTGAACTTTCACAAGGTTTATCTAAAGGCAGACCTGTTAACGCGCTGTGGTAGATAGTGGTTTACTTGCAGGCTTTTTTAAATGTAATCCAACATACTCCTGAGGCCCATGATGCTTTGAGTGATGTATGGACAGAAATTCCGGCGATGCATGAGAGACAATATGTTAAATGCTAACAACATCCTAACATGATTCATAAATAAATAAAAAATCTATAAAATCTTTCTGTCAACAGAAATCTGAACCAGCCTGAGAGAAAAGCTTTAGTCAGAGGATTCTGTTTATAGCCTACACAAATTACTATTAATTATTTTAATTATTAATAGTATAATAATTATAATTAATTATTAGTAATTATAATTAATTATTAGTAATTTACTTAATTTACTTTAGTAAATTACTTAAGTCATTTCATTTCAACTTTTTAATGTTGTTTACACTGTCAGGAACAGATATAAAGCCATAAAGCAATGATATTACATAGTAATGTTTGATGGGCACAGATTTCAACAATAACACCTGGGCTTCCAAGCATTGATCAGGAAGCCACATTCACACGCAGTTGAAGCACTGCACTTTCTTAAGAGGTTTATGCTTGTAAAATTCCTGTTCTTGCCATACTTTCAGCTTAAATCGGCTGCAGTGACAGCTGCAAATTGCACATTGTCCCCTTTACATTGTCACAGACATAGAATGAGACATAAAACGGTAACTTAACAAGTAAGCACATGTTCCTTGACTTATTTAAAACAGTAATGAATGATACTTCTGTTCCACAACTTGATTTTTCAGCCGTAATCATGAAATACAGCCACTGTATTTCACCACATCTTTTCAAACTGGCGCTAACAAAACATTATTGGAGGGCTCAACATGCTTGAAGGAGAACTCTAAGGGTCTTTTTATACCTTACATCAACATGCATATTTGGTGAGCGGATCACGTTTGGATCACCGCATGAAATGCCAGTTGTAAACAAAGTTCGTCCAGATACAATCCAGATACGAAACACATGTTAATGTAAGGTGTAAACAGGCTATGACTGCCAATTTTGTTACATCAACTAACAGATACTCCCATTGGCTGACATTGCGCTGAGTGATGGTATAAATGGAGGACCATCCTTCCTACCCAGACAGAGCGAAGACCAATCATGCTCATGGATGGCTGTGGCATCACTGGGGATCAAACTCCTGATGATGAGGCCAATGCTTGTGCCATTCGGGAGCCCCTTTTATAGCAAAATCTTAATCTCCAGCACTGAAGAGTGGTTTAACAATGCAGTTTGCACACTGTTCAGTTTCAGACTAGACTCTTTTCATGTCTGGAAATACAAATAAAACACTTCTTGTGTGAATGTTCAGTGCTGTTTGAAGAACGATAAAGTGAAGGATGTTTACATCTACATGACAGAAACCAGCACAGTTCTGTCAGTTCTTAACAATGAGTAAGTGAGCCAATTTAAGCAAGTCTGCATAAACAAGCACAGCCATTCTCCACCAGAACAGCATGATAACGTGAACAGCTTGTGAGATAGCCCCAACATCAGTCCTTCCACACTCAGCTCATTAATAGTGTGAAACTGACTAATAACACAAGTAGATCTTCTCTAAACTTTGTCATGTTCAAAGATGGTCACAATGTAATGCTCTAGGAATGGACATTTATTTCTAGGAAGATTATTGATAGCATGTGGAATCAAAGTACAGTTTCGCTGAGACACATCAGTTTTGGACTTGAAGTGTAAAAAGGAACCTCATTTGAAAACCATTACTTTATTCTTCTCAAATTAAGCTTTAATACACACAGTAATAGCTACAGTAACAGAAATAAACACCTTTATATTCATTTCAGCAAAATTACTTTGACAATAAGTTGAAGCTGTGCTTCAAAAAAGAGGCACATTGCTGGCTTTGAACACCGAAACACATTTGACAGAATGCGCTGCAGGATCCTACATTTTCAGACTGTATTTTTGATACGTTTCAGAAATAAAATCTGAAAAGTCCACCTTTCTTGTGGATGCAGTGTTCCTCATTCCTTGTCCATCCACTGAAACAAAATTCCAGATCACAACACTAAACCATAAAAGTCCAAGATGATGGTAGAGGAAATAATGCAGGTGATTTAGTTCCTTTGCTAGATTTGCGGATCAGTTGAGGTTGCCCAACAACATGCAAGCTCACCATAGCCTTTTAAAAATAGTTCTGATCCCTTAACACATTCAGTATTTGCCTTTTATTGCATAGCTTACAACAATAGGCATAAAAAATCAAAGTGAGTTAAAAAGAAATGATGCATAACCTACTATGTGGACAAATTCCATTCCAAGAAACTGTTATTAACTATGACTTGTGAAATTATTTCTGATGCATTTTATTGTTACATTCCAAAGCTTTTTTATTTGATTTATTTTAGCTTTTATTTTTCTTCTTTTTCCTGTTTTTTTTCAGTTTCTGAAGAAAATGCTAGGGTGTTTGCTAAAAATGTAAGCCTCCATCATCTCAACATGAAGTCCATCACACAGCAACAGACACTGATGTCCCACAGATAACTTTAACCTTATTAATGTATTTACGTGTTATATCAGGGAGAAAGGATGGAAAGTCAGAAAGGAGCCAAAATATAGTAATTTGTGAGAAAACCTTGTTGATATGTTACAGTCATATGGGTAGTATCCCTTGTATTGATGCTGGAGTGGAGAGCCTATTTCAACAGCTACTGAAATGAACATTTTCACCTCAGAAGCACACCAGTGAGGTGAGGGCAGTCCTGGGTTCATGATGAACCCACAAAGTGTCATTGATAGTGCTCCTGATAGTCCCCGTTTTCACAAGGGTACGATTCCTTTTCATCGTCCTCCTGCATGGTCACCCCTCTTTTCTTTTTCCAGCCCTTCTTGCGGCCGGCTGAGTTCTCTGTGGTGGTCCCGTAGGACTTCTTCTTGCTGGGGGCAAGGGCGCTGTCACAGCTGGGCTCCGTCTCCTGAGCCAGTTCATCCTCTCCAATGATACCACACTTCTCTTCACTGGTGTTCTCTGGATCTGCCCAGTCCTGCTTCTCACCGGACGCAAAGATGGCGTAAAAGATCACTCCGCAGTAATGCACCATAGAGGCAATCACAAAGACATTCTGCCACTCCCGGCGGGTCTGTAGAAGATAATGAAATGCATGTCAGAATCATAGCAGCTAAAGGTGTACAGAAAGAATTGCATCACATTAAGAAGATAGCATCATGACCAACTTCATCTCATAAGTTGAATATCATTGGAAAACAAAGATTTCCACGTATTTTTGACATAAAAGAGTCTGATGTACTATGCAAACATTGTACTATTCACTTTCCAGTTTGTACAGTCTATACATGGAAACCAAGCTGCAAAAGTAGCTCATTTTAAATCATCATGGTTTATTCACGAATGCATATTCGACTCCCCATTTATCTGTTCAGCTGCTAATTCATGTTGATATGAATTGGAGTGTTGTTAAGCCAGAGAACTTGTAGCAGATTTACTGTAGTGAGGATGTGGAAAAAATTAATCAACATTGTACTGTTAGTGGCCATCAGGAAGCAATATCCCTGCAGCCTTTCAAAAGAATCAAACAAATAGAAGTTACTGAAACTTTATTTCCCAACTTCCCTAAGGATTCTAAACTTAACAGTTCTGTACATTTCATTCCAAACTTTATTTTCAATGAAACGCAATACAGGACAGTCAGTAAGAGCACTGACATACATCGGAATCAACAAAAAGCGGCCCATGGGCCAAATCCAGCCAATGAGCAAGTTTAACATCAAGTACAGTAGTTAGTCTAGTTAGTGAAAATGATGCACCAGAGCAGACTTCACTGTCACTGCCGTCTTATAAACGTCCTTTACAACGGGTCCTTGGCAATGATGTCATGTTAAGGCTCTCGTATTTTGTATTAGCAAAGTTTTGCTATTCACAAACACAAGAAAAACTGTCACACTTCACAGCCCTGTTAAAACATAAAATCAGTGCCTCACTGAACCGTCTGCCAGTATGTTTTCTGTTTTATTATATGTCTCCCAGTGATAGAATGTAACAAATATCTGAATGGTGATTTATGTACTTGTCTACTGGTATCTTGAATCAAATTCTTATTATGTATGTAGAAGGTATATTCTAGCGCAAGCTCCATTCCTCGCAGGCCAAAACACTGCAGACTTCAGCATGCTGCCTCATTAAACACAGCTGATTCATTTCATGATCTTATTAGCAAGGCCTTCATGAACTGAATTCAGAGCATTACAGGAGGGTAAATGTTAATCTCCACAGCACTTTGGCTTAGAAGGTCCCCAGTTTGACATGCCTGTTCCAGCACTATTCTAGAACAATATGCACAATTAGATAAAAACAGCAACTGTGACTGCATATCAGACAGTAAGGGTATACAAGCAGAGGTCTGACCCAAAAAGTATTTGCTACATGAGAGTTCAGGAATATGTCTTGAAGGTTTATGAACAAAAAATTATTTGATTAACTTTGATTTATTCCAAAGGAAAATGACTTTCTGATACATAAAACCACACAAAGTAGAAAAAGTGGAAAATTATGTGAATAATGGGAAAAAATAAAATATGAGGAAAAAGTAGAAAATAGGCCCTTAAGGTAAAGTTCAGTTATTTAACTATTGGATTCTACTGTCAAGACATCTATGGCTTAAAACTTATTTGCTATAAACATCTGTATGCACATTTCAAGGTAAAGAGAAGCACCTACTTTATGTTTGGTCAGCGCTCCCACGATGAGAGGACACACCATACCCGACAGGGTACCCACTCCATTGGAGATGCCCATCAGGATGCTGGCATAGCGGGGAGCAATGTCCAGGTGATTCACATTGAAACCTAAGATTGTATGATCAAACATTAGGAAGAACATGAATGAACTGAAAGGCTTAGATACGCTAAGTATCTTCTGACAATTCACAGTGGTCACAAGTTACTCTAACCTGATATGGCAAAGCCGCTAAAGCCCACTGCCAGGACAAGAAATGAGATGGCTACTCCACGTGTATGTGAGAATCCCACCACCAGAAGCAAAGTGGCCTCCATCCCAAAACCTGAGAACCACATGAACAGCAAAATTACTCTGGTTTATCTTGTTGATATTTCTGTGACAAGTTTCATTCACACTAACTTCTTATTAGCGCGCTAAACAAACCTCCACAGTTCATGATCTTGCGCACGGTTGTGGTCGAGAGGATTTTACGGCTCCTCAAGAAGTCAGCCAGCTGGCCCCCAATCGGCACGATAATGGTCATCACCATGTGGGGCACAGCTGATAGGATGCCCACCTAAGAGACACATATTAAACAGTTATATACCGTATTTCATTCATTACGTGAAGAACTCGTCAGCAACTATCCATGAAGTTGTCTGTGTACACAGTACAATGGCGGATGATGGCATTCTATGGGCAAAAATCAAAAAAGCTCACTTTGCTCATGGGAAAACCAAAGACCTCTTCAAAGTAGGCAGGCTGGCTGATGAGCAGGAGGTAGAAGGTCCAGCTGCGGCAAAAGTTGGCCACAATGATGGCATAGACTGGCATGGAGGTGAAGAACTGTCGCCACGGAGTCTTGAATTTCTGTAAGAAATTGGTGGAATTAACCTCTTGAGCACAGCGTCCATCTTCTCAAAACATCAGAAATTAGTTTCAGTGCAACTTGTGTCAGAAGATGTTATGCATTATACAGTACATTCAATTCAACAGATATTGTGACAGAGCAGCTCTTCAGAAAACCAGGCCCAGGTGCCTAATGAATGAGCCAAGGCTGAAAGTAGCAATGAAAAACATGCTAAAGGCATGAAAAACCTTGCAAGGAATTAAGAGTCAAAAGGCAGCCTATCATCCTCTGGTTAACATTTGATAGTCAAATTAAAATATAAACCTATGCTTTATTAGAATTGGTGATGTGAAGCAGGAGATCCTGGTGCTGTACCTCAGTAGCACTCATTAAGTTGGCCCCTTCTCCAATTGTGGTCTCGATGTATGTTTTCTCCTCCTCACTGATAGTAGGGTGCACAGCTGGGCTTTCATAGGCAAGCAGGAGCCAGAAAGTATACCATATGATTCCGAAAACTCCTGAGCAAACATAAACATGCCAAAAATCAGACCAGATCCTTGTTTTTAGTCAGATTACAGCATAGCTAAATTTAGGGTCGGTATCTGTTATTTGTTCATCAATATGTCTTTAAATACACTATTATGAGTGGATGATATAGCAAAAATATAATATAACAATACTTCACAGTTTTTCATGATACACAATGTCACAATATTTATTTTTTCTGACATTTGTTGTGTTAGAATAGACAAAAAAGAACCAGTGGTGCTGCATTTTTAAAAATACTATCAAAAATGATGTTTTACACACTTCACTGAACTAAATCTAATTAGCCAGGACTGGTTAGGGCATCTTATTAATGAAACATGCAGTTGGCCAGTGTTCTTTAAGTACCGAAGATATCCACGATATACTCAGAAAGGCATACTGTAACATATTGTGGCGTAATTTATTACAATAACAATAAATATTGTCATATTGCCAATCCCTAAACACTATATGGCCAAAAGTATGTGGACACCTGACCATCACACCTGTATGAACTTGCTGAACATCCCATTCCACAACAATGGGCATTAATATGGAGTTGACCCCCCCCAAACAGCCCCTACTCTTTTAAGGAGGCTTTCCATAAGATTTTGGAGTGTGTCTGGGGGAATTTGTGGCACTGATAGAGAAGGCCTTGCTTGCAATCGCCATTCCAATTCATCCCAAAGGTGTTCAGTGGGGTTGAGGTCAGGGCTCTTTGCAGACCACTGGAGTTCCTCCACACCAAATTAATTAAACAATGTCTTTATGTAGCTTGCTTTATGCACAGGAGCGCAGTCATGCTACAACAAGAAAGGGTATTCTCTAATGTTCTCCTGGCAGCCGCCAAAACCCAAATTCACCCATCAGACTCCCAGATAGTGAAGTATGATTCATCACTCCAGAGAACACGTTTCCACTGTTCCAGAGTCCAGTGGCAGCTTGCTTTACACCACTCCGGCCCAAGCTTAGCATTGCGCATAGTGAGCTTAGGCTTGTGTGCAGCTGTTCAGCCATGGAAATCCATTTTATGAAGCTCTCAACACACAGTTTGTGTGCTTATGTTGCCTCCAGAGGTGGTTTGGAACTGTAATGAATGATGCAATAGGTGATTTTTTTGAGGCACACACTTCTGCACTCAGGGCCGCTCCATGGCCAAGCTGTTGTTGCTTCTAGATGCTTCCATTTCACAATAATAGCACCTACAGTTGACTGGGGTAGATCTAGCAGGGGAGAAATTTCACAAACTGACTTGTGGCAAAGATGCCATCCTATGACAGTGCCATGTTTAAAGTCACTAAGCTCTTTAGTACAACCCATTCTACTGCAGGTGTTTGTCTATGGAGATTGCATGGCTATGTGCTTGATTTTATCCACCTGTTAGCAGTGGGTGTGGCTGAAACACCTGTACTCAATCATTGGGGGAGTTGTCTACATAATTTTGGTCATATAGTGAACATTAAATTTACATTTAGGTTTAAGTTTTTATGTATGAACTGTGATGCAGAGTGTGAGTCAGGCCATTATTACTTTGTATAACCTCTAAAAGCCATAATATCTGAGAAAGTATATACTGAGTGTAATTAGAAATTAATTACAAATTAATAGTAAAGCACTCATTTACCATCCTCCTGCCCTCATATACTCATATACTACTTTACTCTAGCATAGATCGTAAAAGGGTGTTTTTGTTTCTTGTTAAATGCACTACAGAATGATAACAGGTATCTTTATACGTACTGTGTTGTTTAGATACACTCAGTGTAATGCTGGTGTGGGCTTTGGAGATGTGATCTCACCATAAATGTAGAAGACGGAGGGCCAGCCCACATACTGCACCAGCACGCCTGCCAGAGGCATGGCAATCACTGCACCTGCATAGGACCCTGTCAAGCAGAACACATGTGGGAGTAGTTAGGGTTAGTTTATCACAGAGAGGGAAAACGGAGATTAATTAATCTGAACTGCAATTACAGCATGTCTCCCACACAACCATTTCAAGCCCTCCAGTGGTTACAAGGATGGCTGTAAAATTGCCAGTGGTCCACTATTTCAGTTCCGTCGTTTTTTATTTTTATATGATGTGACAAAGCCCATTATTTCATCCTGAAGTTGTAGAGAGAAAGCCGTTAAGAAAGGTGTTACATGAATGTTTCAGCAGTCTCTGAAGGAAATTTGAGGAAAATTCCAGCATTTTTCAAACTAAACTCAATCTACAGCATACAGGAAATGACCATCGCCAGTAATTTCCCTATACTTAGAAAAGAACAGAAAACCTGAGTAACCAAAACACCCTCCTAAGAGAAGCCAATGGGCAGATGCTTGAAGTTCAGGTCGAGGTTATTGTCCATGGTAAATGACTGTGATTTTACAGAGGTTAGGTAGAAAGATGATGAGTTTTCCTTTAAAAGAATAACAGAGTTACGTTTGCTCACAGTGATGGTGATTAAAACTGTCTTTTTACAAATCAAAATCTGTATTTTTTATTTTGTAGTGTAGCCTCTTATGCTCCTTGGAACCACCGGTGGTTCCAAAACGCATTTCATCATATTCTTCATAACTTCATTCAAATCAAAAACATTCAAAAGGTGGGTGTCATATGAGAGCTGTCTTCTTTCCAGTCAAATAGATGGGTAATGTAATTTTAAACCCTTATAATAGAAGAAGCTGAACTCACATTTTTTTTTTTGTCTACAAAAAGTTGACCCATTTTTCCACAAATCTGGGCTATAAACTGATGGTCTCTCTTCAGTGATTTACTCTGTAAAAATTATTTTTGTAAAATAATACAAAGAGCGTCAAAGATTTTTGGCTTTCAGTAGTAAATTGTAAGCATATAGCAATATGTGTATGATCATAAAACACATGTTCTGTTCATTTGAGGGGAGCTTTTACAAAAATAAATAAATAAATAAAATAATAATTTGCATTTATTTCATGCAATTACTGAATGATTTGCCTTATGATTTGGTCATGTAAATTCAGATGGACAAACCAAAATATACCCTGGAGCATAAGAGGTTAATGGCTTTAAACACTCCCTCACAGAAAGTTATTACAAGAAATGGTCATGAATACGCTGCTTGATTCCTAAGACATTAGTTTTACAATAACTCTGAGATATGATTTTGGCCTAAAACATATTTTTTCAACATTAATATTCTCAATAAAAACAATAGTATTCAAATTTTAAAAAGGTTCATGCAGGGAGGGGCAAAATATCACAAAGAACCTCTTTTTTTAGATCTACCATTATTTTACCATCATCAACATTACATATAAAAACTGGTTTTGGATAGTAAAGGAAATGGCTACATTTGCATTATAGACATTGTTATCTCAGGTTCCTATCACCACCTATGTAAAGAAATCAGCCAGTAAGTTTCCCTACAATGCATAATTTCACATCAAACAGATTCTGAATGAATCCGTTTACATCTTAATGATTGAAGTATCTAGAAATTTGAAAAATAGGTGAAATTCCTCTTTCATATCTATCATTGAAAGTTGCTCATAAAGTCATCAAACACAGAGACACAGAACACTGACCCTTTTTCCAAACATCAACAACTCCTTTAGTTGTTTAGTATTCAGTCTGTCTCAGCTAAAGGTAATGTGATTTTAATGAAAAGGCGTTTTCATATATTTATCATTACCGGATGCGCTCACAAACACTTCAGTTTGGAGTGGGAAGGTCTCTGCCGGAGTTGGGCAGAGCGGAGTGTGCTACTTCATTTGTATCAATGGGGAGGAAGAGAGCTCCTTCACATGCAGAAGGTGAAGCTGCATGCACACCATCTCCATTCAGAGGCAACGTCAAGAGAGGTTTGAAGAATGGGTTGTCATGGTACCATTTTATTGAGAAAGACGGCTATTTTTAATGCATGTGTGTATGGCGGGTAAGGTGTAATGAGTAGACAGACATCTGCACAACAAAACTTAGCCTCTCCTAAGCATTCAACTGCCATCAGCACTGGACACTGATTGTGCATTAGTCAGCATGTTAGCCATTAGCTTCAGCTCTGACGCAGGAGCACTAAAATACTTTTAAAATACTGCATCATTTCACAGTTTGAATATGTTAAGAGGATATAGTGCCATCAGTAAGATAATGGCATGCGTAAAGAGCTTTTAGTAAATCATGACCGATTGAGCTAATTAGCCTACATGTCCAGGTTCAATGTAAATCATTAATGTAAAAACATTTCTCGTAGATATACTCACCACAGAAAGAGGTGGTGGCCAGTCGGCTTCTTTCCAGCGGAGGAGCCCATTTGCTCCACATTCCGTGGCAGGCTGGATATGTGACTCCCTGATATACACACACATACATACACACATTTGACAAAATTTCTAGGTCACTGTTCAACAGGTTACAGTCAAAATGTGTCATTAAATAGGCCTCTTTATCTGTGTTCCTAGCTGTTAATCCATTGGTGGGCTTTTATCATAAATAACTATGTTCAATTTTGTGCTTTGAGTTTTGCCAACCCAAACTATCCCATTCAATTACTCAGGATTTCAGAAAAGATTTCCTTTGCCTAAGCATCTTGGGACCCACAGAGCTGAACCAGATAATCAGAGGCTGTAGAGAAAGGGTGGGGAACTCTGGTCCCGGGGGGCTGGATTAATGCACAGTTTGATGATTTGGTGCTCAAACACAACTGACTTGACTTTTTTAGGCAATTTTACTACCCAATTTTGTCGTGGCCTGTTTTCACCTGTTGGCGAGGGTGAGGGCTGACATGTGTTTTCATGCATTCAAACTGCTGCTAACACAACGTCGCTGGACAACTTCAATGCATTTGGAGGCTAACTGCTAATTCTCTTATGTCAGCTAACAGATGTGTGTGTTCGTTAGCACCATGCTGGGTGATGGGGAAGCAGAGGGCCATCCTACCCTCCCAGAAAGAGTGAGACCAATTAAACTCCTGGCTACGGATGGCTGTGGCATTCAAACTTGCAGTCTCCAGACAATAGCACAACACTTAAATGGTTGCCCTAATTAGGGAGCCCATCCTAGGGAGCTACCGGAGTTCAATTTCCAGCCCAGGCAAGCACTCCATGCTTTAACAATGGGAGTCCTTGGGCAAGACTCCTGATGCTCCATTTTCTTTACTTCTGTGAAAAATTATTAGATTATCAGTTTCTCTGGACAAGGGCATCTGCCAAATGCCATAAATGTAGGGAAATGTAGGGAAAAGCAGGGAAATCTTAACACTGTGCAGCCCTCCGTTCCCCACCCTTGCCACAGAAGAACAAAACATTGCAGACTAACCAAAGGACGGCGTTGAGAACCTCAAAACTCTATATGATAGATGGAAAAAAATAGATGAAACGTCATTTTGATATTAGAGTTACAGAAATCATGAGATGTCCCTTTCACTAACCTCCACCAGCCCTTGCAGTATTCGTACAAACATGACACAGCCATAGTGGACCCTCGCAGCTGATGGGATGAACATGTTCAACACTGACGTCAAGAAAATGGCCGCCCCAAACACTCTGAGGAAAAGAAGTAGATTTTATAGATTTTACAACCCATTTTCTTTTGGTTTGAATTGGGCATTAAAAGATTTTTAATGTTTGGACTTTAATATGGTCTTGGCCTAGCAACAACAGTTCTTTGAATGACTGAAATGTTCATTTATAAGCATATAATATCACAATATCTCATGTTCTTTGTCTTAGACACTGCAGTTGTTTACCCCTACAATACTCTCTTATAGTGAAATAGTGACACCTACAGTTCAGCACTGACTTTGTATGTAGATGGCAATGAATAAGCCAAAGTCTATGTTTAAATATGTCAGCAAACAAGCAGCAATGAAGTCTATATGCACAGAATTCTGAGATTTAAGACATTAAATATTTTAGCGCAAATGTTTCAACTTGCTAATGGATGGTCTGGCACCAAGAAAAAATTTAAGAATGGCCTGCTTAATGTAGTGAAGCTTCAACGCCATGAGTCATACAGCAGGGAGCCATTTTGGATTGATCCACTTGCGATTTATCACCATTTACTTCATCCCTCCATTATTTTTTTCTTTCCAAAACAGTGTGTAAGTGACACTTGTAATATTCCAGAGGCTGCTGTTTCAGGGAGAGATCTGCGGCAGGATCTTTCATTATTAACTCTGTCAGCCTCATGTCCTCTTTTCCTGTGAGGCTTTTATTACAGGAGCCGCTATCGCACCTCTCATCAACACACCGGACTTCTTTAACCCTTACAGCCCTGACTAAGGAGATCCACCCAACAAACTCCAGACAGATGCCATTACATTCTTTAATACTAAATTGTTATTTTTCTTTGGGTAGCTTTACTTAGTTTCCTTTCTGTCAGTGAGGACAATGTGAAGCTTAGGTTTAATTGTCTCTTCCTGTCCTAAGGTATCCAGAAGTCTGTTAGCTCACCTGTTAGCTGCTAGCTTGTTGGAGATGAAGCCTCCAGGGATTTGAGTGACAATGTAACCCCAGAAAAAGGAGCCATGTATCAAGCCTACTGTCTCAGGATCCCAGTTAAACTGAGCAGGCTGGAGGATCAGACACAGCAATAGAGAACATGTGTTAGTCATGGGGATGAAGTTAGCAGTACAAATATATATCACAATTTACTGAAGAGAGAAAAAGAATGGAAGCTCATTCTCACCAAGTAGAGGAGAAAAAATAATCTTTTTTTTTCAGTTCTCTCTTTCTGGCAGCAATATGTAAAAATTTTAACTTAGTTTCTCAAAATAATCGCATACTATTTCAAAATAATAACATATTTTAGTATCTTAAAATAACATTATCACAGAATAAGTACTAAATTATTAATTCATTACTAAATAATGACAGAGTCAATATACTGTGAGGGTAACTGATTATTTTAACATAGTCATTATTCTAAAATAATAAATAATAACTTTGGGATAATATGTTATTTGACAAAACTGAAAGGTTCAAGAAAATAAGTTATAATTTTGATATAGTGTGCAGTTATTTTGAGATGCTAAGTCAACATTTTGACATACTGCTGCCAAGAAAAGAGAAAAACAAATAAACAAACAAACAAAAAAAAATCTGTTCTAACTGGCAGGAATGGGCTTCCATAAGAGAGAGAATCCAGCAGAAATATTTTACTGGAATTCCCTTATTGAAAATAAACAGTGAAAAAAAACATGATTCATTCCTTTTAAATATTGCATGTCAAATAATGTAAAAGATGTACACTTTAGGATTCTGTAAAGAATTCATCCATGAAAATCCATGTTTTTCAAATCTTATGTAGAGTCTCAGAATGATTAAGAACCCAAATAATACCAGTGCAGAGCAGCACTAATCAAAGTGTTGTTTTTTGTTTGTACTTATGTTTTATGTCTTTATTATCTTTTGTTTTACTAACATTCTTACATTCTGGTATGTTGTTATGTATAGTACTACAATACTTTTAAAGAGATATAAAGAATGAGAGAGAGAGAGAAAGAGGGAGAGAGAGAGGGAGAGAGAGAGAGAGAGAGAGAGAGAGAGAGAGAGAGAGAGAGAGAGAGAGTTTTTCACTCATACTTCCCCTCCCCTTGCCTCAGACTACAGGAAATTACAGGAAATTGCAGTGGCTAACTACATGGAAAGTCACTGATGAGATTTTACGCTAAAATCAAAACCCAGATTATCTTTGGTTTGATCACCTCAGCTGAACTGGTTAACTACTGTGTCCTGTTCATGGCGCAGCGTATACGTATTCTTATATTTTCACAGTAACACATTCACGTCAGAAATGCATATTTACTTCATGCTTTTTTGATCACCTGCATGACAGCAGTCCCATTGATGTACACCGTGTTGTTGTTGACCATTTCTACAATGGCCACACCCAGGTTGCAGCGGATGCCAAAAGAGATGCAGAAGCCCAGGCCGCTGAGAATAGCAATGATGTAACGCTTGGGCAGGCCGAAGCAGCCACAGTCCAGCAAGGGCGGGCTGTGCTGGGGGGCTGCCACTGGCCTGCCATCTTCCGTCAGCTCTATCTGATCCTCCTCATCCACGTTGGTGCCATCAATCTTCCTGTGGAGAGGTGGGGGGGGGGTCACACTTTAGGGCAATGGTCACCATCCCTCCTCCTGGAGATCTACCTTCCGGAAGGTTTCCCTTTCATCCCAAACATAACAGCTAAAGACTTGGAGACAATCATCTACTGGACTAGGCATGGTGGATTAGGCCCAGTTCTAAACTCTGCAGGGCAGCAGATCTCCAGGAGCAGGGTTGGTGACCACTAATGTAAGACATAAGCAGGGGTTTCCAACTCTCGACTGATGTTCAACACATGATTTGCACATGATTCAGCAAGATAATGCTTTACAAAGATGCACTCCTCTCTTTAGATCAGACTCTGAGGTGGTGGTTGTCTACTAACTGACCAAGGTTTGTTGGAGCATCTCAAGGTTACCGTTTGAGAATCATTTGTCATTTCGTCTCACCAGCCCTGCACTCAGAACTTGTGTTCTGCCTTAGTATACAGATCCACTTTTGATTGTGCTCTGCGCTTTCCAACAGGCATATCCTCACTGCAATCAGAGAGGGCAGCAAGAGGTGGCTCCAGAAAGGTCATGGAGTGGAGCGTTTGTAACTCACTCCCTCCTCCCTTTTGCCCGCACGCACACCTGCTCCATTACAGAACCTCCATCTCGCCTCTCATCCTCCACCTAATGGCAATGACTTTCATCTTGTCTGCTCTCAAACGCACACCTGAGTTCCTGTGTCTCCGAGAATGGAGAGAATTCTCAGAGAGTTGAATAAAACACTAGAAATGCTGCATAAAGAGGTTTCTTTTTATGATGCCCCAGAGCTCTCAGTCTTCCTCTCACTGATGTTTGTGAACAAGATGAACTTGCAGCTTTCAGGTTCATGAGGGTTATTGCAAACACTGAAAGGCTGGATGCTTTCTCAAGGGCTCCTCTTGTGAGATGCTCTAGATCATTCACAAAAGACACATGCACTAAGATAAACAGAAAGTTGAAGGCTGTTTTTAATCATTCTCCAGTATTACTTTTTTATTCAGCAAGGACAGAAATGTTTAGATTAGTGTTGCATCGGTTTTTAGTGAGATTCTCCAGCAGTCTGCTGCAAAACTATTCAAGTCGCCTTTGAAATGGACTGTTCCTCAGTGCTGCTCTGACAAATAAAGAGAAAAGGGCTTTTGAGAGACCTGGCTAACAGTGCCACGTTCATTAATGGGGATGGTGCTTGCAGGTTTCAAAAACAGACTTGCCGTCAAAAGCCAACATGACTCTCCCTCCCCCAAACCCATTATGAGGCCACAGTAAAAGAAACACTTTTATCCCAGTTCCCTGCCCAGATATCGAAGCATTCTCCTTTGCAATGAACATAAAAAAGTGCATAAGGTGCATAAAGGATGCATTGCACATTTCCTTCAGTACATGATTAAACAAAAATATCATATGATATTCCAGTTAACTGTCAAGTTACGGTTCTGTACAATCTATACATAATGAATACATAATTTATGACAAATAAAACACCCTCCCAAAGTCAGTACTTGCCATTTTGCAAATATAATTGCAGTTGTGAAGATACAATGGCACCATATGAACTAAATATGAGGTTACCAAGTGAAATATTTAACAATATTTATTATCCTCCACAATACAAGATTCACAAAATCTCACTGCACCTGAACCCTGCATGTTGCAATATCACCCAGGCACAGGAAATTATTCACTTTATCTCGTTTATCAAGTTGTCATATTTTCGACAGTGATCTTGCTTTTATATGGGGTTTCCAGATTTGTTATACTCTTGTGAATATGTATCAGATAAGAAATATGTATTAATATCTGAAAATACTACTCTGTGATATACTGCGAAATGCCTTGGCAATCACCTTACAAATTCATTAAATAACAAGTACTGAACAAAGACAGTCAAACACACAGGACTGCCTGATCTGCAGACAAAAGCCCTACTCACCAGCCTTAACTAGTCAAAACCCCTACAGCCTCAGTCAAAAACCTGACTGAACATTTAATCAATGAAGAAAGCTTCAGCCAGTAAAACCCCTACAGAATATGTTCTTCTGAAAAAAATGATCAGGCCTGAATGAATTCAATGCTGGCCTGAACTGCTTTAAGTTGGTTTTGTGCTGGTCTGGTGCTGGTTTAGCTGGTCACTCATCATGGTGCATACCAGCATCCAAAGCACTAAAACCTTGCATCTTAATTTTTGTTGTGTTTTACTTTTTGCATAATTTGAGTCCAGTTAACTTTTGAATTGTGTTAGAATTGTATGATGAACAGACCAATACACATGGCCCTAAATTGCTTGTTAATTTTTTTTAAACTTGTTACATTAAGTTGTGTTACACTGAAAGTTGAAAAGTAACTTTACATTAAAAAGAATATTTTTTCATTCTCCTTCAAATGTATCATTGTGGAGATCCAAGGTTTTCTTCCAACAATGATGTTATGCTAGTTTTGGTAGTGATCAGCATTTTATTGCTATTGACCAGCATACCAGCATCCAAAACACAATATGCTTGAAAAACCATGCTAGTCTACACTGTTGTCTCTATCAGGAACACTGAACAGCATGGTTAAAAAACCCTACTTCTAATCTAAAACTATTAAACAGCATTAGTTATTAACCTGAATGAAAAGCTCTAGATATTCAACACCCATAAACACATTTAGGCTAGCTAGTCAACAACCCTACTGATGAGCTTTAGATATTCAAATCCCCTACTGAACAGCTTTAGCTATTCAAATCCCCTACTGAACAGCTTTAGCTAGTCAACAACCATACAGAACAGCCTGAATTAGTCAAAACCCCTACTGAACAGCTTTAGCTAGTCAACCACCCTACTGAACAGCTTTAGCTAGTCAACAACCACACTGAACAGCTTGAATTAGTCAAAACCCCTACTGAACAGCTTTAGCTATTCAACAAACATACTAAACAGCTTCTGCCCGTCAACAACTCAACCGAACAGCTTCAGCTATTCAACCCTCCCAACAATTTTAGCTAGTCAAAACCCATACTGAACAGCTTCAGCTAGTCAATATCCCTAATTAACAGTTTCAGATAGTCAACGACCCCTTCATCACATTCAAATAGTCAGAAACCCTACTGAACAGCTTTAGCTAGTCAACAACCCTACTGAACAACTTCAGCCTGGTGACAAACCTACTGAACAGCTTTAGCTTTTCAAACCCCCTACTGAACAGCTTCAGCACATCAACAACATTACAGAACAGCTTTAGCTAGTCAACAACCATATTAGACGTACTGAACAGCTTTAACTAGTAAAAAAAAAAAATCTACTTAACAGCTTTAGGTAGTCAAAACCCCTATTGACAGCCTTAGCTTCTCAAAAATCCGACTGAACAGTTTCAGCCAGTGAAAAACCTACCCAACAGCTTTAGCTACTAAAAAAAGAAAAACTGGAGAACAGCATCCGCTAGTAAAAAATCTCACTCAACAGCCTGAGCTGGTCAAAAACACTATCGAAGAGCTTCGGCTAGTCTCCTTTTTAGAGCGGGTTCTGCACCCAACCTGTTTACACTTACTTCTGCAGGTTCCCCAGAGAGTCACCCACTGTGTTCTTCACCTCCTCCTTTCCTGGCTTCAGCACCTTCTCCTTCAGCCCTGCAAGTCCTCCAAACGGCATCTCTCTCCCTCCCTCTGGTTGCTCTTCTACAGACCTGGCTCTTGCCTTGCCGAACAGGTGGGATGTCCACTAGGCATTGATGCTCATCCTCCTCCTGGCTAGGCTGTTGTGGGCTGACTGAGGTGTGCTGAAAGGGGAGGTGGGATGCTGAGAGAGGGGAGAGGAGGGACTTGCTGGAGGCACTGGAGATGGGGACGTAACGGGGCGTCCGTCTATTTTCCTTCGCTTTGCATGGGCATAAAGAAGCACGTCCAAAAGGTCCTGATTTGGCAGCAAAAGGACAAATGCCCAGTGTCTTTGCTCTCACTGAACTCTCATCGCGGAGTGCATCTAGACACAACAGTAGTGGAAAGATTCTGGTGTAGTCTGTCCTCCTCACAGCCCCAACAGACACTGAGGATACCTGCTTCCCCTCCAAAAACCCCACCCTCCAGGTCCCATCCCATCTAGAGCAGGACAGTAAGACAGACAGGCTCAGGTCATTAAAGATTGAAGGCGAAGTTAGTTCAAGCAGGCTCAGTGTTGGACGATACGAGCAGATGTAACCAGAGATGGAGTATTCTGCTCCCAGACTCACTGCCATCCTGTGTTAGTATAACAAGGCCACTGAGGGTCAAAAGTATCACCAACAACAAATAAAACACTGAAGCAAGGGTTTGAAGCGTGTGTGAAGCTATATTGGAGGCAGTGGAGGTTCTTTTTGTAATGGTGTGAAGGTACTTGTTCCCAGTCTCTATTTGACTGTGATCAAAAATGTAGTACTTGTGAAAAATTCAGATATTGAGGTTTAAAAGATTCATCAGTACAGTGCGCGGTGGTGTGTTGAGCTCTATGCGTTTCAGTGCAGGCCTGTTTGGAAAACTGGTTTTGGCCTCTGTGGTGCTTCAGTAGACAGCCAGAAATAAACTCAAGTGTTGCCCCACTGGAAGTCTCTCATGCAATAACAAACCACATTCATTCCTAAAATAACTGCTAGGCAGAATAGAGTGACTTTTTAGTAGGACCAGTTAAAAGATTCTGCATGTGTGGATATAAAAATACTTAGGAGATGTAGGGAGTACAGTACTGTGCAAGAGTTCTAGATATCTTAGGAAATTATACTTGAAAAGCTATTTATCTCAGAAGTAAACATTTATTTGCTCTCAAACACACTACAATTACAATAAATACAAATAACAATAATACAAAACGCATTGATTTCGTGTCTGTCATTGTGTTCTTTCAGCCATTTCCAAACCTCTCCATGTAGTTACCATCCAACACCAAGTTTAACTCAATCAGTCATTCATTGAATTAAATCAAATGAGCTGATGATGGATTTTAACAAATCCCTGTGAATGCTGGAGGCATCTGGAAACAAACATGTCAACTACTGTTTGAAGACAAGACGCTCTTGTTCATTTTACTGCATTAATGTTTATTCTAATGTTATATGGTACTTTTACAAGCAAAAACACACTTACTGCCCAGATAAATGCCTTTAAACAATTTGCTTATGAGACAATTTTTTTTCTTTTGCACTGTACGTTATAAGAACCAACATGATTTAAGTTAACTTTTTTAACCTTCCTCTGGCTTTGCTGCACATCATTTCAGTGCACCAAAGATTTTATTTAGGTTTTTGGTTGTATGTTCCATGATTTGTTCACATGCTCATATATTGATTCCAGTGAAAGAGCTGAAGGATCATAAGGACCAATGTGACATCTAGTGGATCACATGGGAAGTGGTGGTCAGTACCCACTCTAGAACCTTATTTGACACCTGTTCCAATTTTTTATTACATTTTTACAAAACAGAGACTAGAAAGAAAACATCTTCAAGAAATGTGAGACACTGAAATATTACGATGTGTCACATACAGTAAAGTAGTAGTACTGTATCAGAAATGTATCTGACACACTGAACAGCTCAGTTCCTCCATTAGACCCCTTAGAAGATTCATTATATTCAAACACATAAATTACTCAATATAGCTTTTCAATGAGTTACTAAAATAGCAGAAACACACAGTCATATTAAAGTACTCATTCCATTCCTCAAATAAATCAGTTCTGAACTTGTAGTTCTACTGATTACTGTAGCACTACTGACTGACTGAATAGGTGTAAAATTTCAGTTGTTAGCCGTTAATCCCCAAATAGCAAATGGAGTAACTGACATACGCAGCTTGGCCAAGTTTGACGTATATTTTTCCACAATGCATGCTACAGTATAATAATAATGGATAATGGACAGTCCAATGTGAGCAGTTGCTTTTGATAATTAAACTTATTCACGTTCACATTTTATTATCCAGTTATAATTAAACAAACATAATGAACACACTTCTGCACATTTTGATGCACAATTACTGAATTTAACATATAGAAGAGAAAAATAAAATACAGCATGTGACCTTTGCAAAAGTTATGGCACATTTTATTTCCAGTATGTTTGCCTCAGCAAATAAACAGAAATTGTGAAATTTGCTGAAAAAATGTCATATTTAAGTTTGTTTACTGAAGAGGATGTGTGTCTCTTTTTGGTCAGAAAATCAACAAAACATGTCATTTGACCAGTGAGAGTAACAGTTTTTTCATTGTGAATTTTAGCTGGCGGACATGTCCCTTGAGGAAAATTAACTTTCTCTGTTGTACTCATGTCTGCTGTTCTCTGCTGTTTGTAGAGTTCAGTTTATTCATTCATATTGGGTCTGCATAATTCATTGAATAAGATGTAAACAAAGTCATTCAGAGTGGTTTAACGTGAAATGGTATATTACAGAGAAACTTATTGCCTCACATTTCTTTACAGTTACAATGACAGGAGGTAGCAGTCACAATGTCCATAAAGGAAATATAGCCATTATATTTACTGTCAAAATGACCACCTACATGTGTCTTTAGCATTTTTATATGTAATACTAGTAATGGTAAAATAGTGGGGGACTATTTTGCCTTTGAACGCCCTGCATGTACCTCTCTGCCATGAATGTATTTAAAAAATATGTTTTAGGCCAAAACTTTATCCCAAAACTATTGTAAAACAAAGCCTCACACATCACGCAATATAGTAAGTTTGTATTAGGTAGCTTTTAGAAGCACTAAACACTTTGGATGTCTGGTTCCTATCACCACCACTGGGAACAATTTGGTAAGTCGGTAGGAGTTTGTACGTTCCTGCAGAATGGAGTATTTCACATCAAAACACTCTGAATTACTTTGTTTACATCTCAACAGTTCAATTACACAGACACTTTGAACAATCTGTGATTTTTTCCTTTAAGTAAAAGAAAAACCAGGTTGCAACAGCAGAGCTGAACTACTAGAGATCACAAACAAGCATGATTTACTACCAGTATATTCAAATAAAATAATATGATTTATATAGTCATTTTATTATAGCAGTGGAGCAGTGGGGAAGAGCTCCATCATGGTAAACACTGAGATATGGATTAAATACAGGATTAGGGACCATGGGACACTTTATGTCTGTACTCATATTAAACGTCCAGCTATATGAAGATATTACTTATTATTCTACTTATTTAGAAAAATAAATAATTCATTACTTTTTTAAAAACTGTATTTATTTGTTATTCTAATTGAATTTAAAGCACACAACACAATAAAATATAAATAATAGTAAAACGTTCTCCAGTGTTAATCTCTCGGAAGGTATTTTATTCAATTTCACACAAAAATCTTTCAAAGAGAATAAAATGTTTCGTATAATTTCACTGAAATTAGAGAAGAAAATTAATTTGGACAACCGCAGGTTTATACTGATTTATATATATATATATATATATATAATATGATATATATATATATATATATATATATATATATATAAAGAAAGAAAGGAAGAAAATGAAAGAACAAAGAGGTTAATAGTGCAGCATACAATCACCAAACATGCTAATATGGCTTCAGTAGGATATATAAAATGAGCTGTTTTTCTATTCTGCAACTAACAATGATTTGAGAAAAAGAAGCTGTGAAGATATCAAAAAAGAACCGACAACGAAATATAAGTACTTTCTGAGAAGACTCGCTACTGAAGCTGAAGAGCTGACATTTCACAGGCATTGCTGTTCCCAGGTCCAAACTGCATACCGCTGCTAAATACATGGCTGCAGTCCAGTAAGCGTACTTGTGTCCTAACTAGCATGCTTAGAGCTTGTGACCCAATGAGCACACGTGAGTACTTGTGTTCTATGTTGTGTTTTAAATGGGCACCAAGATGAAGACCAACTTCCTTCCAAACAGACTACAACCCGCATACTTCTGTCCTAACTAGAACTAGACGCTTGCGAACATGTAGAATTCTAGCACGCCGAATAAAACACAGAACGAGTGCTTGTGGTCTACACAGAGAACGCTTAGCTAGTGCGAAAACTGAGGCCGCCAAATAGAACACAACCTGTTTTGAATTCCACGCCCTAGCTTAGTGTTCTAGTTAGAAGGCGAGCGCGCCGCGCGCCGGCCTGCCAATCAGCGGGCAGAAATGCACGCACTCGCTAAGCGTTCTACTTAGAACACAAGCACGCATATTGGACCGCGGCCCAATGACCGCATTTTTCTCTGCTTGCATAACATATCGCGTGACTTCGAGGGGTGAGTAACGTGAGGGGAAGCGCGGGGAGGGGAGGCGGCGTTCATGGCGGTAGGAGGAGACACGTCGTCGTCTTCCGCGTTTTCCCGGATCTCCACCTCTGCGTGTCCTGATTACGCCGCGCACCGCGCTCGCACGTTTCTGTGCTCAGCCCTGTCCCCCCTCCTCCCGACTCACTTAGTTGAAAGGAGAAAAAAAAATAATAAAGTCAATTATACAACGTTTTGCTGTCCACCCCCGCCTCCCCCTCTCACCTCTCTCTCCCTCTCCAGCCGTTACTACCCGCCGCCTTTCTCCACATGCGGTGGAGTGCTGGGCCCCGGCGGACCGGCTCCAGCCATGTCGGCGAGCAATGCAGCGGCTGGCGGCGGTGACAGACCGACGGGGGAAGAGACAGGTAAGACTGCCGGACAGCGAGGGTGGACGGTGAGTGAGTGTGTGTCCTGGGCTGGAGCAGCAGAGAGACCCTTCGGTCAGTGTGTGTGTGTGTGTGACGGAGGAGAGGGAGCTGCCGGTGCTCTGCGCTCTCGCCTCCGCGGACTCGCGTTCACAGCGAAACTAGGTCAGTAGTTCAGTAGAGCAAACTCTGATAGTCGAAGATTTCGCGCTGGACGTTGCCGGCAGAACCGGCTCCGCTGGCCCGTTTTGGACACCGGGCTATGAGCAACACGTTGCTGTGATGAATTTAAAGCCCCCTCGGCCCCTCGGCCGTGTGACCGAGCATTTCGGATTGAATGTTGTCTGAATTTGCGTTTGTTTGTTCGGCGAGGCCCGACAATGAAGTGACTGAAGTGGCTATGCTAACAGAATTATCGTGTCGAGGGGCTGGTAACTGTGTCTTTTGGGGGTTAGCAGCCGAACCCAGCCGAATTTTTGTGTGAAAATGATTCATAAAGAAGCCACTACCGAGTGTGACTGGCTGGAGAGGAGCTCTGCAGTGCCGTGAATAATAACAATGATGATGATGATGATGATATTAATAATAATAGCTCGGCTCGGACCTCAGACCAAAACAGCGGCAGAGTCTCTTCATCACCTCATTAGTAAGCTTAGCATTTTCAGCTGAGTGTCGCCCCGAGGTGTGTGTCGGTTCGGCCCGTTTCCGAGTGAATCGCCGCGGGTTGGTCTCCGCCGTTACTCAGTGAAAGGGGATGTTGTTTATTAACCTTTGATATCGGTCCGTAACCTACATCGGCTCCGCGGTCTTACGAAACGTGCGGCTGATGTTTGGCTGCTGGTTTCGTCTTTAAACAGCTCGAAGTGAACTTACACACACCGACATGTAGGATATGCGGGCCTGTAGAAGTTATCAGTCACTAACGGCTCAAAGTAAATCCTCTCTGTTGTGGTTAATCAGATGTCAGCGGCTGTGGAGAAATAGGTGAAGTAAACTCAGTTGGAGCAGAGTCTCTTTGGCAAAGCCAGGTTTATTTTCATCCTGTATGAAGTTGAGAAAATAAGAAAGACCGGCTCATTGTTGTTGTGGTAGGAGGTGTGATTAGTAGCGTGTGGGTAAATATAGTGCCATTCAGATGGGGCTGTTCTTTCTGTTCTTGATCAGAAACGAAACGACTAAAACGTGAAAAATGTCAGATCTGATCTCGGTGCAGGTGCCTGATGTGCCAGCTTCGTTTTCCGTCGTATCCGCTTGTAACGGTGCCATATCTGCTGTGCATTTAGTGCGTAAACGGGATCCTGCACTGTGCCGGTTGTATAATATCTAGGTCAAACTCGGCACCCTTGTAGGCCATCGCCGTGATGCCCTCCTCATCTTCAGCGTCGGAAACCGAGCCTTCACGTTCCGCCGAAAACCTGCTCAGGAAAACGGCTTTAGAGACGCGTTTAAACGTCTCTCACGAGTGTTTATTCGTTTTAACAGCAGTCGGCTGTTAAGGCACGGAAGCTGTGTGGTGAACCCTTGAGAAATGCAGTGCTGTAAACGTGGCGGAGGGGAAAGAGGGGTCTGCTCTCAGCCTTCAGAGGGGCCAACAGGACCCACATATTCATAGAAACACTTAATTTTACTTGTCAAGTCTAAAGCTTTACCCAAAGCACATTTTCACTGTAGTTTAAATCGATATTAAGGAAAGATGTCGTGCCACTAGTAGAGAGATAAACATTTGTCATGACTGCCGTGTGGAGTGGGGCTCAGAGTAACACACAGACTGAATCTCCCTCGCTCTCTATTTAGAGTTCAAAAGCCTTTTGTGCCTCTTTAGAGTTTTTTAGGCTGCAAATTGAATTTTGACCTTTAACTGTCTTAATTTCATCAGATTTTTTTTTAAAGAAATAGCTGAAATGACTAACATGGGCATGTTTTTTTGAGCTCCTGTGGAGGCGTAATATAGCATAGTGGGAAAAAGCTCCAGTGAAACACGTCTGTGGCACTGTCTGCATGTTCACAAGTTCACTGTTTTTGAGAAGATATGCTGTCCGTGCTCTGGACACAATCAGGATTTTAAGATATTTCTGTTGGTTATGCTTCCCCCCAGAGAAAACTTGTCGGTGCTTTGTCTTTTGTACCCGGTCAGAGCAGAGCAGAGAGTTTTCAACACCAGATTTTTACAATCACTTAATCAGTCAGTAAACAAACACAATAACATGACAGACCTCAAAATGTTCATTGCCCTAGTCCTTTGGTTCTTGTGCCAAGAGAAGCCTGCTTTATTATTAAGAGTGTTAGAGATGCAGTGATACGGCATTCATTTTCTTTTTCTTTTAACATTTTTTTCTGTTTTTTTTTTTGTACCTATTATTTCTATAACTTTAACTTTTAAATAGAGTTATAAAGAAGGGGAAAAGCAGTACAGATACAATAGTGTATAGTGAACAAAACCTTTCCAAAATGAAAATTTTACAGGAGAAGGAAAAACCGTAATGTAAGTCAGTGGAACCAGACATTTTTCAGAGTCATTTTAGGCCATTTCTTTTGATCCATTCATCAAGAAATTTGGATGTCAAATTATGTCAAAAACTGAAAAACAACAAAAAATGAGATACAGAGTTTTGTTCTGACAGCATCTCTCTCTCTCTCTCTCTCTCTCTGTGTGTGTGTGTGTATGTATGCTTAAACTGTATGTTAGAAGAGCAATGTTTTGTTTTGGTTAAAATATTTAAAGTGAAGAAAATTAGTAAATGGAAGTCTTGTAAATGGAAAGTACACAATAAAATTGTGTCTCAGTTTAAATGGGAGAGCTTGCCTTCTGCTGTTTTATGTTTGTGGGGTAAGAAATTCTGAAACCTTCTGTAACTAACTACAGAAATACCTTTTGTTTAGCTTCACAGGAGGATTTTCTTTTATCTTTCAGCATTAAGTGAATGTTCAGCGCCTGAATTTTCTGTAAACCAGCGCTCTTGTATTATTAGGTTAGTAAATCATTTGCACGTATATGTGTTTAAGTGAATAATTTAATGCAGAAAACAGAAGAGAAAACATATTATTTGAATGCCGCAGGCTCCTTGTACCCACCTCGGAGTAATTGGCACTGTAAAGGTCATAAATTTAAAGGGAAAGTTTGTATCAAAAGTAGGTCAATGGAATGGGGGTATATTACTACTTTTTTGCATGTGTGTATTTTTAGCAGCTTGCTGTTGCCTCACCGTCTGCTTTGCTCCGCGTGAGCACATGCTGATGGATAGAGTTGAAGGACAGGTTGGCACAACATGATCACAGACTGCAGGGAGTCCACACACTGTCCACCAGTTATTTCTTAAAGGCATTAAAGCAAAGGCCCTGGTTCATTAAGGTTCAAGTTTGTTCCAGACCCACTTTGTTTAAAGTTGTTTCAGGTGTCAGCTGATCTGCTTTTGGGGGGAAAAATATAGTCACTTGACCTGTGGTGTTCTTTTACCTCCACACATACTTCTGTGTGTGTAGGACGGTCAGAGGGTTCAGTGATGGGTGTGTTTCTTTGAAGTATGGAGGAAAATAGTGCTGTTGAATTCCCAAGATGGCAGCCTTTAGTGGGTTGCGTTTGTGCTGTACTTGAATGTAAAGGATAGTATACATAAAAGACTCTGTGTCCTGGTCATGAAAGATTAAAGGTATGAATTGAGACAGCAGAGGAGATATTTTATGTTATTCTTTGTCTACCAGAATAGACGTGAACTATATATACATTGATGCTGCTGTGTGTATATTTTCTAGACCTTAAGTGCGTGGAAATCATATTATGGCTAATGCCGAACAATAAGACAGGAAATTGAGTTACAGAATACACGCTCTATATTTGGCTCGTTATTTTCCTGTCTCGTGCTGAACATCTGAAACCTTGAAATCTCTATTCACCAAGACTGTGATTTTAGCAGGACTGAAATTTTTTTTTTTTGGGTCGATGTTGCAATTTGAAAGTGCAATTTTCCAGTTCCAGGAGCTGTAATTTTAATTACAGGCTATATTATCAACAACATTGTTTTCAGTTTCAGTTGAGTAAGTAATTTAACCCAACAACCTGGAGATTAACTGCCCGTAGGTGATGCACCATGTCCAGTGTTCAAGCCTCAAGGCAGAAAAAGTGGATATGTTAATATTCTGGGCAAGTGTGTGTGTGTGTGTGTGCGCGTCGCTGCTGTCAGAACAAAACCTTATGTCTTCGTTTTTGTCGTTTTTCAGTTTTTGACATAATTTGAAAATGCCTGTTGCCCTTTACATTGTGTGTAAATTTCATGATGAAAAGACCAAAAGAAATGGCCAAAAATTACTTGGAAAAAAGTCTGGTTCCATTGACTTACATTAAAAGTAAAGAAGGTTTTTTAATTCTGTAAAGTTACCATTTTGGAGATACAAGGTTTTCTTCCAACAAAATTTTATATAATTTTATATGTATAGTTCTGGCCACGCAAGCTGATTGGTTGAGAAGTGTTCTAATTTAGATTTTTTTGCCATAACATCACGTTTTTTTCACAAACACTATCACTCCACTGATATGCCGTTGCTAAACAACGACTTTGACAGCTGTAGAAGACGCTCAAGCCATCTGAGCGTTTTTACTTACTTTGTGCACAAACAGAAAATGGATACTTTTAAGATCACATTCAACCGACAACTGATTTGGTCAGACTCTGAAGATGAGACTACACTAAATTCTCGTGCCTGCGACTAAATCACAGCTGTGATGTTATTTCGCGATAACACACTCCCTCTCATGTTCTATTGCTTAAATATATAATATATATATCCACACACACACACATGCACACACACCACGATTTAAAATGCAGTCGGTTGAGCAAGTTTATTTTTACCCACATACTTCAGTGCCTCACATCATTAAAGGTGCTCTGTGTAAAAGATTAAACAGTGCTGCCGTCAGTGTGGTAGTAAAACATCCTGTTGGTGAATATTTTAAAAAATTAACATTTTTGGCAAAACCAGCTTGGATGTCAAACTCACGAGTG